AAGAAGAAGAAGAAGAAGAAGAAGAAGAAGAAGAAGAAGAAGAAGAAGAAGAAGAAGAAGAAGAAGAAGAAGAAGAAGAAGAAGAAGAAGAAGAAAGTTTAAAAAACTTGGAAGTTGTTCTGGTTTCAAAAGTGATGCTTACAGGACAATGATGTACTGGAGTACTTTGATGAACAATGTCAACTTCCAAGGGGAAAACGGAAGAAGATATAGACAAGAGGGGTGCTCCCAGATCAACCTCCTGTGGGTCTGTTGGAATCAGAATCAACGAGAAAATCAATCAACTGCCCCTGATTGAGTTTCGAGGTGGTGAACAATCGATGTTGCCTGCGTGCAAAGTTCATCGAACAATGGTTGAGGCTAACGCTAGCGCCAACCAGCAATACACCATGAGCGATATCTCAAGGGACCGATGCATGTGCTTTCCCTTGAGAGAACTCGGGTTACCACACCCTGAAGGCCATATTGAACGATGAAGGGCTCTCACTGTCGGCGGATCGATGAAGCAAATCGTCTCGGGGAACTCCCTACACAGTAGAACAGCATCTGACTACGAAAGAGCAAGGACCTCGAGACCTCGAGACCTCGACAATGCCCAACTCCAACACACCAAAGCCCTGATGTAACTGGATCGCTCCTCCCTAACAAACCACCCAGCAGAAAAAAAGATGATATACTTTAGGCAACCTCGCCGCCAACCAGAAAAACCACCAAATTACAGCTTTGGTGCGCAAAATTTGCAATGTAAATGATCATATGGTGGATTATCATCATCGCATGTCGTTGGATCTGGCACATTTTGAATGGTTGATCAAAGCTAAAATCATAGTGGAGCCGACTGTCATCCACGGTCCCCGATGCAGATCCGCCAATCATTGTGGGCCAACCAAAGGTACTTTTGTCAAGACCCACTATGGCGCCCTTTGAAGCAGATTTCTTTGGTTTGATTCTTCCAAATTCTGTCTCCAGCCTTCCTGAACCGAAAATTCCTCTTTGATAGAGTTTGGATTCTGTCTCCTGATGTCGTGAAACAAAATGTTCTCCTCTGATATAGCCTGCCATCTGTCTACTGGCTTCTTGAAGCAAACATTCTTCCCTATTCTGATTCGATGTGATCTTTTCAACCAGAGAAATCTTTCTCTTGATCTGACCCTGACATGAAGACTTTTTCTCTCTGAATCAATCTGATCTTTTCAACCAGCGAATACGCATCTTGATTTTGATCATGATCTTTTCAACCACTAAACAAGATCCTCTGTCCGCAATCTGATTCGATCTGATCTTTTCAACCATAGATTTCTCGCTCAACTTTCTAGGCAGACATCTTTCTTCAAACCCAATTCGACCTGATGTAATGAATTGAAGCAAAGATCCATAGAATTGTGTAGAAGCAGACAGTCTATCCCTTTTGAAGGAATCATGGCAACCCCTGACCTTGAGCTTCCGCACGTGACATGTCGCTGTATGCCCCCTTCACCTTCGATCACAATGGACTGAGACCACGTGAGCTTTCGTGTTGCGTGCAAGAATTCGGTCCCAAGGAACTGCTATCCTTGATCGATTATATCATCCATGCTAGAGTAGATTGACATACATGTGTGTTTCTGCTGCTATCACCAGGCAAAACCGTAGATACGTAGACATGTTAGATAGGTATTTAGTAGGTAAGTATCTCAGGAGAATTGAAGACATCAATTCCGCTAGAAATAAATACACATTCTTCAACTTGATTGACCACTTTCTCACGATCTTGTGCACTCGAATGGACAAATGCTGCGAGACTAGAATATTGATATCAGGTCACTGCTAGCCGTCTCTATCTAGCTGTCTAGTTATAATTCATGACCCTTGTCATTGTTGCTTAACATTGTCATTTCTCACGTCTCTCATACGTTCTAGGGCTTGTTGAGCTGTTCTTTGCGATAAAACTGTGTATCTTGTTAGTACTCGTGACTTTTAAAACGAACCAACACCGATTGAGCTTACCATGAAATATCCCACACAGATACTCAAATTAGCCACGAGTCCGATCCAGAACCATGGCTGAAAGGTGCTTGAAAACCCAGCACTGATGTCCGGACTGATAGGACCAGGCCCTATTTTGTTGGGACTGCACGCTCTTGCCACGATTGTTGCCACAGAGCCCAGAACTTGCGCCATAATCAGTGTAAAGGCAATGTGAACCCGTGTCAAGGTCTGAAGTAGGATCATGCCTAGGCCTACCCCCTGGAGAGCATCCAAAGTCCCAAGCCATAACCACAAAGCCCGAGATGCCAATGCGCCTGCTGTATAGCTACCTGCCCAAGGGAGATGGAGTCCGATGTTGCTGGTGCCCCACCAGATTTGAGCCCATCGAGGCGCTCCGAGACCGATGGCAAACATGGGGAGAATCCAGCTGTGCGATTTGGACAGCATACCGAAGAGCCATAGGATTCCAGCCCAGACGGCGACAAAGAAGAAAATCACCAGGAGAACAATCTGCCACGTTGATGCGTGACGGCTGCTCCAGAGAAATGCCCAGTTGCGACCATATGGCGCCGATAGGAAGAAGTTTTGAATAATCACCGTCAAGAAGAACCAAAGTACAATCTTCCGTCGTCCCAGGCTTTTATAGAAGCTTGGCATTGTTCCAGGTGCTTGTCGGTAATATTTGGGCAATCCCAACCACATCACTACTCCGACAGACCAGAGAAGTACGGCGATTGGCAATGAGATCGCTGTAATCTTCCAGGAGTTCGTGATCGGGTTGGTCGAGGCCAATATCCCATCAGCTTGGCTGCGATTCAGGTATGATCCCCAATACCAGAGTGCTACCACGTAAATCTGCTGAGTACCTTGGATCACGCAAGCCCGAAAAACCCATGCTTTCACATGTGCCCCACCTTCGTCACCAAAGTTGAGGGCGAAAAATATCGAGCCAGACGATGAAGCAACTGCGTAGAACCCAGTCGCAACATTTTGGGTCCATCCTCGACCGTTGGTGGTGCTAGCATAATGCGCAACACCGATCAGTGTAAATGCTAGGCCGTAGAAGAAAAAAGGGAGTGACAAGCAAAGCCTTGAGCTAAACCGTCGAAAGAGAATCCACCAGAACAACGAGGTGACGAGGTAGATGGTTGCGATGATGTATAGCTTCTCCGCCGTTTGACCGATCTCTCCTGTCAGTAGCGTGATCTGGTATGAGTTGGCCGCAATAATCTGCCCAAATGCCATGAAAAATGCATAGACAGGCCAATCCCCTACTCGGATTTGCATCCATTTCCGTATGCCAGATGGTGGGACATAGTCCTTCCCGAGCAGGAATTCGTCAGCAATGCTATCGTATTCGTGGTCTTGGCTGTCACTTCCTGATTCACTGCGCTGGCCGATGATCGAAGGGGTTCCGGAAACATTGCGTGATTCGTGAACGCTTGGAGTATAGTAATTGCGACCAAGTTTGGCATCTCTGAATGTTGTGAACCAGGATTTTTCTGACTTGACGAGAAACTCCTCGATGCAATTCGTAGTTTCCGAGTTATTACCATTCAGGCTGTCAAGCTTCTTCTCAAAATTTCTGGCGAACTCTCCGTTGCTATCGGTGAAGAATGGATCTACCTTCTGAAGGTTAAAATCGGTCTTCTCTCCCACTATTGAGTTGATTGAGAGTACAGATGGGCTGGCAGAGATCCGGGTCCCCGCTTCATCAAGACCTGGTGTTGGTGCTGCGAGTAGACCTGAGCCTGGACGAGGAGGATCTGGGGATTCGGGACTGTCCAGAGGGCTACGTCGGTGTCTGGGATGAACCATCATTTCGACACTTGGAGTCTGAGACACTCGCACTGAAGAGACCAGTGGTGGGGTCTGGTGGCCATTCTCAACTGCAAGTCTGTGATAGCCGCCCCTCGTCTCAGTTGACATTGTAATGTGCTCATCTTCGTCAATATCACTCTCATCAGAATCTTCCTCCGGAGTAGCATGAGGTATGTTGGTATGCCCTCGGCCAGGGCTAGGAACTCCAATATCATCACCTTCAACATCCGCCAGAGGTGAGTGGATTTCTGGAGTCTTCGTTCCGTCAAGGTCGAAAGTATCTCGAACATTTGTATGACCAGGTCCGTGATGGGATCCTAGAGAGGTGGATCTTGCAAGGCCAGGACTTGATGCTTTATTGAGGTCGTGGAGCGGTTCTCGACCGTGTCTTATATTCTTCAATCGGGCAGCAAGCGTGGATAAGCCAGAATGGCTCGCTCCGCGCGAATGGGACCATAGAGCTGGAGTATGAGCTCCGGAGGGCGAAGATATTCCAGGTGAACTCATCCCACTATGGGGGAAATATATTGAGGGTGGTTTGATAAGATCGATAACAGTCGAGTGGCGCTTCGAAGCTTCGACTTTGTCATGAATTCGCACAGCAGTAGATTGCAGAATCTCAAGATCTTCCACCCATTGGGCAACTGGGAATCTTTGAAGTGCTGATCGTGCTCTCATCAAGGCTCGAACTTCAGGTTTGGAGCTGAGGGCCTCCTCGATTGCAAGTTTGAATTGATGGATCAAGTGTGCTGTTGTTGTAGCTTCGACAGTATACCACCAACCTGGCATCTGCCCTAGACCGCCAACTCGCGCACCAACTCCAAGTGCACCCTTTCGTCCAAATTCAACAGCCACAAGGCCGAATGGCTCATCTCTGGATGGGATCAGAGCAAATTCTGCTCCCGAAAAGATGAAAGGGGGGAGGGCGGTGAAGACTGGCTTAGAGACAACTCTTCCAGGGTATAATTCCGTCATTCGATCGAGTTTCATCGCTGCGAACTTGCCGTACAAGTCAATGACCGGTCCAACGGTGAGGAGCTGAATGTCTTTGTTCGACTCCAGTAGCGAAGGGAACACATCTGCAATTAGGTCAATCCCCTTTTGCATTGACCAACGGCCAACAAAAACGAAAAGTTCCGCCTTTGGATTCTGTTCTAACCCCGCCCATTCTTGCGCCTGGCGTTTTAATCCAGGACGGGCCGCTTCAAAAGCAGGATCGATATGGATATCTTCTTCTCTGGGAAGTTTTTTGTCCCAATCTCCCGTATCGGATGGGTCAGGATTGGGAAGTTTACCAATCTTCTTCAGGCCCCAGAAAATTGGATATCTTGCATAGGACCGCTTCCCATACTTTTTTGACACTCCAACGGCTCCAAAACCTTGCTGATGAAGACGAAGATAGGACGCCCCTGCATGAAGGAGGTTGAAGACTTCGCCGAATTGGACGTATCGTTGCACGAGCTCCGTTGATAAATTGAAGACTGAAGATACCTCGTCTCGCTCGTGCCGAGTTCTCATGGGCCAAAGGCCTTGAAACTCGGCGTTGTGAAGTGAGAGGCAGGCTGGAATGGTCCGTGGAAGAAGGTAGAGTGGCGCAATAGATCCATGGTAGTCATTGATGTGATACAAATCAACGGGGAATCGTTTCAAAGCCTGAGCAATGCATTGATTCCAAGCCGAATAATAAATGGCGGACTCGAGGTCATCCATTCTGGGTGGGTAGGGCTCTGACTTTGTTTGTTGCCGAAATACTGGCGCATCCAGTAGAATGTATGTGATGTTTCGGAGGACATGATACTGGACTTGTACTTCAAAGGTTTTGCCGAGAATAGTGACGGTCATTGGCTCAGCCTTTGTATCTTCGGGGTAGTCAACGTCTCGGACACACGGTACGACCCAGATGAGGTCTTGGTGGCCCAAATTCTTTCCCATGAGCTGAGCCATGACCCCCAACCCTCCAATTTTGATCTTAATAGCCCAGTCTTCAATGTCGTATTCCATCGTCGCAATCAAGACAGTTTTGCGACGAGTTTGGTTCAAGACAGTATCGGTCTCTTGCAAGAACTTTGGCTTGCGAGAAAACTTGCCCAAGATACCAGGACTGTCTTCTGCATCCACAAGCTTCTTCAAGGGCTTTTTGAAGATCGCGCCAACAAGGGTGGCCTTTTCGGAGATTCCAACTTCATTGAATTTGACGTCGTAAAATGACTGGACAAACAACCATGCGGCAGTTCCGGCCGAGATTATGGGGATCGTCCATAACAAAATGTACAGGATGAGCTGATTCCACATGTTACCTGATGGAGTGAGCGAAAAGCGAAGAGTACCATCATTGACAGCGATTTGCCACCCTAGATAAGGCTTTGGAGGGGGTTGTGTGATATTGAGGACGAGATCTGATAGTGAAGATGGTGGCAGCCTGTCGAGGACGCTGTCACCATCAACATCTCCAAACACTTGTGTTTGGTCTGGATCGCCATCTGGATTGATACCCCACACGTTGATCTGTGCCAAAGTCCCATCATCTAGCCACTCAGTCATGAAATGGTGCGACCAGGTGGCGTTGTCTGTAAGCTCCATTCGATTGTTCAATCCAGCATCATAGCCATAAAGGTTGTATGGGCCGTTGAGAAACAAATGCGGAAATCGGCGGAGAGTTGTCCGGTCCACATCGCCCTCTTGAATATGATCGGCGCTGCCAGCCAAGCGGCTGAAGTACTCCACGCGAACATGTGTACCTTTCCATGCTTGAAGTTTGGTACCAGACCAGGCTTGCTCGTGGATTTCCACTTCACCTCCAGTATAGGGGAGCCACTCGGAAAACGAAGAACCCCAGTTTGTCGAGTATCGCCACTTGTCAGCGCCAGGAGCGGCATGAGAAAGCAAAAGAGTTCCATGGCCAGCTTTGTTGACGAGTGTGGATGAATAATTTGCCGTCGTGGGAAACACTATCGGGTTATCCTGTTGGCCAATTCTAAACAAGAATCGATCCACAGCATTGGTGTGGTCACCAGAAAGAGCTGATGCATTCCGAAGTGTGATGGCATGTATACCATTCGAGACGTTTCGCAGAGTAGCAGACCATGCCCATGTTGATGAGATTGCTCCTACGTAGTCAGGTGTCTCGGGTGTGCTCAATCTTTCGCACCTTACGGTGGTTCGATCCAAAGAGGGCGTAGTTCCTGATGCACTTGATGAGTTGAAAATAACGCTGGCGGTGACGCTATCACAGTCCATTTCTGTGGAGAATTTGAACTCGACATCGAGCGACTCTGTCCCGTTGATGTCGACGGCGGATAATAGACGTGCATCATGACCAGGACTAAAATGTGTTACCATGGGCTTAGGTCCTAACCACTGGTCAATAGGAACGTAGGCACGAAAGTCATAGGCTTCCATGTCTAGCTCTCTCAAACAACCATTTCGTTCAGTAGATCCATTGATCCCCAGTGAATGGGCGCTGGTCTGCAAGGTGTGTTCGTCGTATGGATAGAATAAGTTCTTCACGGTTGTACCCTCATCGAAGGGAGATACCAAACTGGTCGTATTCATGTCGGTCATGTTGTTAAGACAATCAAACTCGTAAACCTGGGAAGCGTTCTGGTTAGAATAGAGAAGCCATACAGGCTGGTTGCCTGCACCGATGCCACTGAGATCTTGGTGGCCGGCAAAAGATGATCGTAACACAGACCACATTCCAGTCTCAGTAGTGGTGTTTCCCGAACCGGGGTACTGTATGAGGTGAGTTTGGTTGGAAAGCTGTTGGAGGAAGAAGCCATCCTGCAGAACCGGGAACTGTTCTCGAAGTTGATTCATGTGCCGAATGATGTTCCGGATTGGATGAGAAGGATCGCGGTGGTCGTAGATCACTGTGTCATCCTCACAGCCACGGCGAGCAGCGTCAAGTGGCATTTCAAAGTATTGTGTTGAATCCAATCGATAGCAACCGTGGGTCTTCCACGCCGTCGCAGAAGACATGGGCTGACGCCCAAAGATATAATTGGATGCCGTGTTGTCAAGGACATAGAAGCCCTGCTCCTCACCCCAAAGGAGAAGAGGTGCCCCAGGGAGCTGGATACTGGTAATAAAGTTCCCCAAGAGCTGACGTTGTATACCATTTGATACTGCAGGCCAACGGAAGACATCTTGGTTGACCGTGCCGTACATATGCCTCGGGTCGAACTTTCCAGTATTTGGATTGACAAAATCATTTGTCAATAGGAACTAGGACACTCAAGTTAGCTGGGTGATTCGAACGACTGCAAATGAGGAAGAAAGATTACGCACATTGTTCCACATGTCCACCCAATTCGTCGGAGAGTCGTAGCCGGCTTCGAGATTACCGTCCATACCCAGAAACCGCGTCAGAGTCCGGTAGACTGTATAGTGAAAAGCGCCCGCGTCGAGACCTCCATACTGTGGCTGTCTGAGAAAGTATTTGCTATCGGAAGTGTTTGTCATGGTGATAGCAGCTGTAAGATTTTCGGGAAGCATATCGGGCTGTCGTCCGCGACCAATGTATAATGACCCAAAAACATTTCCGCCGGTAATCTCTCCAGGAAGGAAAAAGTTACTCTTTCCGAATCTACGGGCGCATTGGCGCATAGCGTCATTCATGGATCCCATGGCATCGACAGTGCTTTGTGTTGCCTTGTCGTAGCGATAGCCATCAATATCGAGCTGAGCAACAAGCATGCAGTAGAAGTTTTCTATTTTTTGGCGGGTCGGTTCATGCCATTCTCTTAGACGGTCTTGGACTGAAGCAAACTTCGAAAGCTGCCTTCGCCAATCAGGAAATACTCCAAAAGCCTCTGTATCTCCATATTGATCGAATTCGCTGTCGTAACAGCCGATCATTTGGTCTGTGACGTCGTTGGTTACCGGGAAGCCATCTTCCAACCAAAACTTGGGGTATTGGCAAGTATCATTGTAAGAGTTGCCGATACTGAAGTCATGATATCTTCGGTCTGTTTTCCAAAGCACCTCATGCTCGCGCAGCGTAAATGGGGTTGTCGTATTGAGATAACCGTCGAAACCAATCAAGTCTCCCATGGTCGCGAAGGTATTGTCCAGGATGACATACATGCCCCTTGAATGGATCTCTGTGACTGCTGTTCTCCACATCTCGATGTTCCCGAAGTGTTGGTCGAGGAGGGAGAGGTCTAGAGGGGAGTATTGATCATAGCCCCAGGGACTATTGATGAAAGGGGACCCAGCGATATAGAGGCCCTACCAAGGTTAGTATGTTGGCTGCCAAGCGTAGCGAGGACTTGCCTTGATGCCCATGCCTTGAAGATAGTCAAGAGTATCCACGAGACCCAGCAGGTCCCCGCCATGTCGCATTTGATTAGAATTGGTGTCGTGCTCAAAAGAAGTGCCATTTATGTTGTCATTTGAAGGGTCGCCGTTCACAAAGCGGTCGAGGAACAGAGTGTACCACGGAAATCTCCAGTTTTCGGGGGAGGGTGTATAGTTGTGTCCCGACCATTCTCCCCAGTAATCAAGCGGATGGACGGCGGTCTGGTTCTCATTAAGGTTGTATTGTGTATACAGCGGATCATATCGAAGAGCATTGATCGTGACAAGGAAACTTGCGAACAGGAAGAGCATGTCGAACATGGCTCTGGAAGGCAATGATAGGTACTGGAAGTGAACGAAACTCAAAGGGCAAGAGAATGTGAAACGAAGGTGATAAGGGGCTCGGTAGGACGGTGACAGTAAGGATAGACCATGAACGAGTGTGGTGAAGGGAAGATAGCCCAGTTCGATGGAAGATCGAGAAAGAATGATGGGAATGGATTGACAAACAAGACAATAGACGAGGGTACGGCCTTGATCACTGATCGAAGCATTGCATTCGTATTTTGTCCATGGGCTAGCCTCGCGGACACCATCGCTGCTTCAGCTGAACTTGTGGCACACGGTGCTATTGTCTTCCCTGGCGTAAGATGTATCACAGCTGAGAGGCAAGTGAAGCCCTTTGAGACATTTTCAGCCATTGTAGTGATTTGCTAAACCAACCTCGGGACCACCATAGACGGGCACTGCAGAAGGTTTTGGTTTGACAGGGTCGACTGATCCACTGTCCTCGTGGAGAAAGATAGCCATGCCGGGCGCTGGAATGTTGGGTCCAGTCCTGAGTGTTAGCTAGCAGTAACGAGATTACACGAGTCCCCGACGATGCTGACTTCGGTGACAGCCTGGGAAAGGATTCAGCAAGGAAAAACCGACATTGTATTTTGGCAATCATTGGTTCGGCTTTGATTCGTTGGGATTTCGCTAGAGGCATATGACGAAGCTGGAACATAGCAGATAAGGGCCAGGGTCGCCAGGGGCCAAAGGTAAAGTGCCAACATGAGTGGAATCGTAGTCGACTCAGCCAGCATGTCTCATGGGACGACAATTGGAACGAGACGCCGAATGATGGAGAGAGGACAGGCTCTCGTTCGTATTCCGATCACAGGCTACGCAGTTAGCTCTGTGGACGCAGATAGTGGTTTAGCAAGTTGGCTTGTTTGGTCTCACCAAAATAAAAGCACTGCTGTGTACGAGGCCTTTTCATTAGATCCGGTCGAACCATGTGTGACAAAACATCGGGAGGTGTAGGGTCTTCATTTTGGTATAGCGACCCGCCCAGGTGGAGAACGTTGAAGCATCAAGAACCGACCTAATGTGATGTTGATTGTAACTGTATATCAATCTTCATGTGACGCTCACAGGAGAAACCAGGATCAGAGGTTACCCTGTCAGGAAAAGGGCCCTGCTTCAATGTTAGCCTGCGTATTGGTAGGAATTGGGATGGGACAAGGCATTTGCCATGACGGCAATGGGAAAGACGTCGAGAATTGAGTTGTCCCATGTGGATCTGCCAGAAGCTTGAACAGGACTGGCCACCTGGCATATGGAGATCCAAAGCAGCATCCATGCATGATGGACAGGGACTGACTGGCCATGATAGGTGACAAGCGTGAAGTGGTCGCAAGATTCATCGGTGAGTTGGACGAAAGGCAACAATGCCAAGGCCGAATCAATACGAAGTACATCCAACGGCAGGCGCAACGCCGACAAGCACAAGCAAGTAAAAGCTTGTCGACTTCGTACATCGGCCGACATTCGTAAGGCGCACCTGGGTTGCAGGGGTATGCGTGGATGGTAAATCCCACATATCTGAAATCTGCACATGGACGAAACCCTCTGCTCGTGAATACTCACATCCCGCGGCGGCGTCATCTCAGGTTGACCCTGGTTAAAGTTCGACACAGGGTTGCCAGCGCTTCCATAAAAAGCCCAACACTCCTTTTCCAAACTCTGCACATATGTATTGCACTGTAAGATCACAAAAGCCTTCCTCGGCCCCTATCATCCGAGTCTAGGGTCGGGTATGCAAATCCGAACAAACTCAGGATATGAGGTGTGTCAGGCTCAACTCAAACTGTACCTTCATCCATGGATCAAAAGTGTTGGGCTCAAAGAAGGTAACGATCACCGAATCATGCATGCATATCTGTACATATTGTTTGTACGCACATGGTGGCTATGTCAGTCGGGGGACGTTGTTTCCTGATAACATCACGCGATGGGGTTGTACAAAGCCGAGGATGGATATTGTCTCAGTTCTTGTACTCTCCTCTTTTGGGCCTGCCCCTCATGTTCTTTAGATTGTTCTATTTCTGTAGACGGGTGTCTGCAGAGACACGTCTTGTGTAACATGAAATTGCCCAGGTTTGCGTCCGAAGAATAATGCAAGGGAGATGGCCTTCACTACAAGTTTGTTGAATTTAATGCATTCGGATATCCATAAATATCACGTGACAATGGCTGACAAAACTTCTTGGCAGCCGCCACCTGCGTTCTCGAAGATGTCTTTGTTAGTGTCCATCAGACAAAAGTGACAACCTCAACGACCTCAACAGCCTCAACAGCCTCACACTCGATCAACCTCAGTTCTACTTGCTCAATCCGAGGAACTAATCTTCCCCTACATATTTTTCCTTCGATCCACCTCATAACCGCAGCCATGCCTCGAGCCGAAGTCGGATCAACCAAGCACATCGCCAACCAGATGAAGTCCAAGGGACTTCAACGGTTGCGATGGTACTGCCAGGCTTGTTCGAGACAGATGCGCGATGAGAACGGCTTCAAATGTCACGTAGCCTCAGAATCACATGTGCGCCAAATGCAGATCATTGGCGAAGACCCGCGCAAAGCGATCAACGAATTCTCAAACCAATTCATGAAAGATTTCATTCAACTGTTAAGGACCGGCCATGGGGAGAAGAAGGTCAACGTCAATCACTTCTATCAAGAGTATATCTCCAACAAGCAACACATTCACATGAACGCCACCAAATGGGCCAGCTTGACAGAGTTTGCCAAATATCTTGGACGAGAAGGCATTTGTCGGGTGGATGAAGATGAGAAAAATGAAAGTAGAAGTGGTGCTAGTGGCCTCATGATTTCTTGGATCGACAATAGCCCAGAAGCCCTGCGCCGGCAAGAAACACTACGAAAGAAAGAACGACAAGATCGTGGAGACGAAGAGAGGGAACAGAGAATGATCAAGGAGCAGATTCGCCGAGCTAGGAGGGATGCTGGCTCAGAGTATCTGGACAAAGACAATCATTCCGAGGACGACGAATCTGCCGAGAGAGACGATCAAGGCATCAAGCGAAAAGATGGGGAGAAAATCATACTCAACTTTGGTGCAAAGAAGCAATCCTCCCCTGTTGACAAGCCACCAACTCCACCCCTTTCCGATAAGGATGATTCAGCGCCCGACCAGAAGGAGTCCGAGAAACTTATTCAGCCAGCCGACTCGCCGGTTCTGGCAACAGCTCCTTCTACTGCCAAGGGAGCATTAAAACCGGCTTTATCATTTGGCCTTTCCTCAAACATCGCCAAGCCAAAGAATGTCTTTGCCGCCTCATCAAAAAAGAACGCATTCTCAAGTGCAAAGAAGCCATCTTTTGTGTCAACACAACGACCTATGAGTGAAGCAGAGCGAATCATGAAGGAGGAGATTGAAAGAAAACGGCAGCGAGATTCGTATGGAGGCAATGCATTCAAAAGACAACGTGTGGCATGATGGGTAGAGCCCAACACAAGTTACCTGATGATTTACGACCTTATGTATAACACTTGTACTTTTGATACCAACAAGCTGGCAGCCATGAAGGGATGCCTTTAGAAGGAAATATTTGAAAGCCATGGTTCGAAGGGCAACCAATCATGAATTCTCTACCTTCCATGTTCGACCCGAAGAAGCCCAAATGTTCTTGAATCTTTGACAGTGCAGACATCGTGCATAAGTAAAACGAGATATTGAACTCCATAATCACATTATGAGCATATTGACAGTGAGTCGTTCTGAGCACATGTCTCACTCTTCTTTCCCGTTCGAGGCTGAAGTGGCGCTGGGAAGTCCCACCAGTGGATCATGCAACACCCTTGCTAAGTAGCATGGGTTGCGACGACAATACGAGTCCTGTACTTATGCAAATGGCGCCAAATCCCCCACCAGATTGGCGACTAAGATGGCGAGGGGTTACTCGTAGCGAAGCCACTGGATATTTATACGGCGAAAATTGTTGATTCAAAAGCCTCCATCCCCAACCGCAGGTGCCGACTTTCAGCTGATATACCTAACCTGGACTTGTGTCCATGTATGTAAACAGTGAAGGCTGCTGTTTTTTTTGTTGGTTTACGAGGAAGAAAAGTCCACGCCGCGCCACCACAAGAACCAGTACCTCTAATGCACAAACTCTGAAACACATGTCATTCCTTTTGGTGTACAATGTCAAGATAGGTATACATTGGTTGATGGCCTATCTTTAGCCGAGCCACGTCATATCTCAGCACGCTTAAGCACAGTGACAGTCAACATTCCTTACGATTACGAAGCAGGCGAGTGGGCAATGCAATTCCCCTCCCGGTCCGACCAGAGATGTTTAGAGTAGTGGATTGCGAGGTACAAACTGTGCTCAGGGGTTCAGATAATGCAGAGAGAAAGCGCAATCTTCAAGTTTTCCACCCATATCATATTTGCTCATTCGTGCATTCGGTATCCCGTTATGCCGCCAGCACACGCCGGCGGGTATATTGTCGTAATTCGATACGCAAGCCTTTCTCGCTTGCTCGTCCAGCTCGGTGCCGACAGGTCCTAGAAGTCCAAGATAGGCAAGTGCATAGGCTGATCTTGTAATCTAGGACGTGTTCAGCTCTTGTAACAATTCCCTCACTTCAGCCATGTCGGGTTTTCTCTCGTTGTAGATCGCCGCGATGAGACTGGAGTCAATGTTGGGGAATTGTCGTTGTAGGTCGGCCTGGTTGCGGTCATCTTCGCTCATCGGTGTTGCAGACTCATACTGTTGCATGTGCTCGACTTGTTCCGCTCGGTCGGTCTGCTGGGCGAGTAACTGCTCGGTGTCGGACCTTCGAATGGGTTGTGTGGGAGGAGCACCCTGTGGAGCGTTGTATCCGAACGAGCTTTGCTGCGGAGGGTTGTAGTTGTTGTAGCCCTGAGACTGATCCTGTCCTCCCCACGGGTTCTCTTGTGCGTTTTGCGCTAGCTGGTATGCCGCGTAAGACATGGGAGGTTGGCTGTTCTGCTGGGACTGTTGAGGTTGATAGCCTTGAGATTGTCCCTGGGACACGCTATCTGCCCATGGATTGTTATTCGATGACATGGCGTTTCTAGGTCTGTTGTTCTGATTCTCGTCTAGGATTTGCTGCACCCGTCCAACTCTGCCGTCGGTGAGCTTGACTTTGATGCCTCGAGGATGATTGTGTCGAGTTAATGTCTGCGCAACTCTGCCTTGAACTTGCCTTCCACTCCGTTGATCGGCTTTGAGGACGATGGAGACGTAAAGGCCAGGTTTGATTTGACTTAATGAGGATACAGGCATCAAGTCACGCGAAGAATGAAATAGGTGGCAGCTTCTGCGGTCGGACAGGCCTCGGAGGAAGGAAATGGTCGCAGCCTGTCACCATGTTTGCACCAACGTCATCTGAAGGGAGTTCAGCCACCGCCACACTTGGGAGACAGCCTTGGCACATGCACGTGGAGTGGCGCAAGGCTCCCTGGTTACCTCCTTCAAACGTCCTTCGTGAAGGTGCTACTTTACCGAACATCGCATCCTTTAACAAATGGGAAATGTACTTTAGCTCAAGATGCTCATATATGGAATGAAGACCCGTCTAGCGCATCCCATTTGTCCTTGAACGGCTGAATAGTGGAAGGAGCGCCAGAATCTCATATATAATGACCAATACTCCGTCCATTGATCCGCTGTTACGTGGATTGGATGCCACAATCTTGCGAATCAATTTTGCATGCTTGATTGATATTACTCACAGCTTCTCCACCTCCCTAACTACCTCGATCTCAACAACTTGGTCCAAACCCTGGTAAGAGGGGACCTCTATGCCATACTTGTCAGCCACTTGCTGACTGAGAAACCTTCCACCGATGAAATGCTTCTTTCCTTTGAACCATTTGACACATGGCTTCGCCGCCGTAAGACTGATCATATACTCGGGCATGAATTTGTCTCCTATCTGTCCCTTCTCCGGTGGTCCAGACTCGACATCCCAACTAGATGGAATGTCCACGCTGAGGACTGGTTTGTTTGAATCGATGATACTGGACAAAACGACATCGAATGGTGACCTGACAGGTGGGTGGAAAGAGAAGCCGAAGAGTGAATCGACGATTAAGTCGGTAGATTTTAGCGCCGAGGTGAAATCTTCAGGAGTTGAAAGGAATGGGATGGATAGATTGTGGAGTTGCTTGACCAGACCGGTGAATATCGGTTGTTTGGTTGGCTTGGGGTAGTATATGGTTGGCTTGTAGCCATAGTGAAAGAGATGGCGGGCAGCAACCAATCCATCGCCGCCATTATTGCCAGGTCCACAGGCAATCAGGATGGCCGAGCCGGAAGACGGTGGATGGACTTTGTAGACTGCATGATACCGAAAACCTCAGCCGGATAAACAAGATCATACGTGCTGAATCTCATACCTGCCTGTGAAACGCTCAAGCCGGCCAACTCCATCAACTGGTCAATACTGAAGCCGCCATCCTCACTCATGAGATCCTTGTCAAGCTCTGCAGCTTTCTTGGCCCCGAGAGTCTGTTTCGAAATTTCAACGTTAGACTTGAGAGTTCCAACGGATACAGGTCATGGTATAACAATGCGATAATGCACCATACACTCGGAGGTGTTTCTGTCCAGAAAGCACAAAACCTCAAGTATTAATCATGGCCACTTTAGGACCCTGAGAGCCAGAAAGACATATCTGAGACCAACTTACCTTTAGCGTCATCTTGGAAAATCTTTGCAGAGTGAGAATTGATTTCAATGATGCGCGAGGTACAAGTCGAGGAAGCATACGGCAGTCACGTTTGAGGGAGGATGACCGAGGGGCGAAAGATCTCGTTACAGTGGACAGAACTGGCTCTTTGAACCAATCCTTGATTTTTTAACAAAGTTGCATTCGGGAAGCCAAAGAGGAGACCAAATCATGTACATACAAGTTGCGGCAAAATTGTTGCCATCATGCATATGGGATGGCGTGAGGATGGACATGGCGCTGTTGTAGTACATCCGTCATTTCTTGGCGGTCGATGCATCCTAACCAATCGGAGTTCAGCAAGGATTTACAACGTTGAACGTGGGTAGTTCTTTCTCTCCGCGTTTCTTTCCCATCAAGCTGCGAATTGGAATCAATCACCACCAGAAAACCACACGACGACCGCATAGAGCATCACACGACACCGACCCAAAGACTCGCTCTACCTCTCCTCTTCCTCATTCTCTCTTCCCAGCGAGTTCCGACTTACTCTCCGTCCACCATGGTGCTTCGCATCCGTCTTGCCCGTTTCGGCAACGTACGCCAACCGGTTTACAATATTGTCCTGTCCCAAGCAAAGACAGCTCGGGGTTCCAAACCAATGGAAGTCCTAGGAACCTACAATCCCATCCCTCAAACCCCTTTGGCCACACCCAACACGCCCGAATATCTACCGAATGGGGAAAAGTTCCAGGCACGCAAGTTTAAAGATATTCAGTTGGATATAACCAGGACAAAATACTGGTTGGGTGTGGGTGCGCAACCTACTGAGCCTGTTGAGAAGCTCCTTTGTCTGGTAAGTGAATAGTGTTATGGATTGATTCGTCTTCCTGGGTTACTGGGGGTTTGTTGGTCAAGCCGTGCGGATTAAGAAGCTGTCACGAGCTTGTTCCCTGATCATGTCCTCCTCCCTTCAGGCTACACTTCCTGGAAATGGCTCCGGTATACTGACGCGACTTGTCTTCGCTATACAGATTGGCATGATGGAGCCGAAACCGTCATTACAGAAGAGACTGGCTTCCAATAATGTACAGCCTACTGAGCCTACATCCAAAACCACCAAAAAGCCCCAACCGCAAAAAGCCTAACGAGACGTTGGGCGACGAAGCTGAAGATAGAGCTGCATCCGTTGAATGAGGTGTGTGAAAACTGCATAGCGTGGAGTTCTGGGATCGAACTTGGAGGGTTGTCTCCTTTTGACAAGAAAAAGACGCACCCTTGTACAACATATTGAGAATGAGCGTGAAGACGAGGCCAAAGCGTAGCTGAAGCGGGTTCAAACTCTACTTGAGAGCCCATGGGGGTTTGGAAATAGGTGGATATCTACTAATATATCATGCTATACCCCATCCGCATTGTTGAACGCAAGCCAATTCCTTTTGGTGATCTTATTGATATCATGATGCTGAAAGGCGAGGTCGACGGACTGCCGCGACACGCTATGCTATGCTACGCCAAACTACTGGCATCTTTCGTCAAGAGTCTAGGTGCAATGATGTCGTCAAACCCCGAGGTGTCGACCTGAAAGCCATCGTCAAGACAGTGGCCATGCACGAAACACCTGCAAACCGTGACAGGGTCCGCCCGATTGCAAAGATACATCAATCTTATTTAGCGTAAGGCACCTTGGATCTCTCCCACTGCGGTCTGGAACCGAGGTTCATCCAAGTACTTTTTCGTCTTCAATTGCGCCAATGTAGAAGGAACATCGAAGTTGTCTTTGGCGGCAGAGGATAGGTCTTCTCGCTTCAGTCCAATCAACACGGTTCCCAGCGCCACTATCGCTCGGTACGCCGGCTCCGTTGTTTGTGCGGCTGGAGTGGCTGACGCAGTATGATTGACGGATGGACTGGAGGACAAGATTTTGGAGGTCTCTTCAATCAAGGCCAGGCCATATGGTGCGTAGGTATCTGAGTCACTGCTCTTGTCTGTTGTTATCAAGACCGCAAGGTTGAGATAAAGTGTCGTCAGAGCCACCGCGACCGAGACATCAGATGCAATGAGACTGCTCAGAGGCTTGAGGCTCTCAAGAATACTTTCCAGATGCTCTTTGATGAGTTCTCGAGAGGATTCCGAACCATACAAGGCATTTGAGAAGAAGCGGATTGCTATCATCGCTAATTTGTTGTTGGTCTTGACAAGGTCTGCGTCAAAAATGCCAGAGGAAAGAATACCAGCGACGATGTCAATGTCGTCATTGGTACCTGGGAAGTCCTTGGCTGCTGCGGCAATGAAGCGGAGAAGGTCCAAACCTGCCAGACGATTTGAAGGAGGGTCCCACCGAGTGACGATCTTGACGAGAGATGTGATGGAGGATTGAAGGGCTGGTGTGGTGGGCAAGGACGGCTTTCCTTGAAAGTTGTACTTTTCTAATTGTTGAGAGATGTCGAGTAAATGCTGAACCTCGGTCGCGGATAAGACACTTGTGGTGCCAATGTATTCGTTGTTTCTCTTTGTGATCTGACCCAGAGCCGCATTTGGTTTACCGAGGACGATAGACAGGTATTCCTTATGGGGCAGAATCTTTCTGCTGGCTGCTGGTCGAGGTTGATACGAAGATGTGGGCACCTCTCCTGGTCGGTATCTGCTCTCCGTACCCCAGGGATCAGCCCCAACTGGTTGTGCTTGTGGCTGTGACGCACCCAGGGTGGTGCCTTGTGTGTTTTTGATGATGAAATTCGCCGTTTCCTCCAGATACGACATTGGGAGTTCGTTATTTTGCAGAAACTTTGTTGCTGCGTCATAGGGATTCTGTGTGACATTGTAAGGGAGCTTCAAAGGGGGTTTGCCATCTTCAATGTCGATATCGAAAACAAAGTCGTACTCTTTGCCATTGTAGGCCGTCTTATTCGCACCAGAACTTTCAGAATCAACCACCTGACCGATCTTGATCCAGGCTTGTTGAGACATTGACCACTGGTACAGCGTTGCACTGCCATCGTCTTCTTTAATGATCTGGCTCTGTCCCTCTTTCGTGCCAGATTTACGTGTCAGGAAGTCCGGACCTGGAAGGTCAGTCATGTTGACACCGCCCACTTGTTGTTGTGGAACACTAGAAGATTTGACCGACTCAACGAACTCTGTCAGAGTTTCCTGGTCGGCGAATCTCTCTTGCTCACGGGTGAAAATTCTGGCCACCTTGTCGCTTGATCCTACGATCAGATCCCCATTCGATGAGGTTGATACAGACCAGACTGAAATTGCCGGAAGTGTGATTACCTGCACACAATTTGTTCCCTGCCATATCCTGACCGATCGGTCCTCGCCGGAGCTGACAATCTCACCGGTGGGTAGGGTGGCCAGAGAATAGATGAAGGATTCGTGGCCAAACAATTCAGCCACCAACTTTCCTCCCACCGTCCAAAGACGTATCACACCGTCGTTGGATGCGGAAGCAAAGTCGGCTCCTGTGGAGTGACCCTCTGGCAAAGCCGTCAATGCTCGTACAATATCTTTGCCGTCCCAAGAAGCCATTAATTTTCCTCGTTCGTCGAACACCCTGATCGCTCGATCTGCGCAGCCAGTGATGATCGTATCCCTGCTGTATGCTAGGACTGCCCAGACAGTGGCCGTATGACCTGGTAGATCAACTGACGGTTCCCACCGACCAACCTCCCACAACTTGGCCGTACTGTCCCAGCTTCCACTGACAAAATACCGGGCTGCAGCATCTACATCCAGCGAGCAGACTTGATGGCTGTGTCCCACGGCAATGGCTTCCGCATTGACCTCCGCTGTGGAAGAAGGTTGCCGTGCCTCAATGATGGCATCTTGTCCCGAAGAAAGGATCAGACCATCACTGTATTCTTTAGAAGGTGGAAGGTATGCTAGACAGGTCTTGAAGGTGGCGCCTTGAGATGATTCGGTAGGGTCGTAGGTGGGAGGGGAGGTCGAAACACGTTTCCATACACGAGTTGACCCGTCGCGCGAGGCAGTGATTGCGAAGGATGGGTCAGGAAGAAGAACTGCTCTGACCTGGCTTTTGTCAACTTCATTCACGATCGCAAAGAGTCGGGCACCTTACATCAGAGGTATGTCCGGCAAGCACTGCACTCAGCTTGAAATCTGGTAAAGCGTCAGACCGGTCCGCCATCCCGCTCATTTTCAGCAGGATATCGCAACTTTGTCAAACTGAAAAAGAAATCGACGCACGAAATGACTGGCGGGGTAGAGAAGCGTTGCGTTGGTTTAGTAGTACTACTCCGTACGTAGTGAATGATTAATGGATCTGCAGCCTCGCCCCAGTGACGTACCTGAGCCGCAGCCTTGTCACGCTTGGCGGCCGAGGGCCAAGAGCCTCCCCTCTCTCCCCATATATACGGAGTAGGCCTTTTAATACTGACAAACAGATGGACCCCGGTTTCAGTATCGTGAAGGAATCTCTGATGTGTTACATATTGAGTGGACTTGAAAGATGCGCGAAACTCATATGTCATACATGTATGTCTCCAGAGACCAATGGTCTATCTAAAGGTATTATTCCACAATCGTGTTTGGAGCAGGCAACGTCCCATTGACCAGGAATGCGTCCATGATTTCCCGAGCTGCCAAGTTGTCCATATAACTTGTATGTCCATCACCAGTTCTTGTAAGTAGAACGCCCTTAGGAATCTGTCTCATTAAACCGTGAGCCCAAGAAATTGGCGTCGCAGGATCGTGCTCTGAATTGACCACCAGAATTGGAGGAGCCAAAGCCATTTTGGCAGGATCAAGCCAGTGCTGAGGGTTGGTGGGCTTGAATGGCCAGCCAATACATGTGGTGGCGAATTGCATCGACATGCCACTTCCGAGGTTGTGAGGGAACATGGCACTGCCCAGATTTTGCAGCGCAATGTGTTCATCATACGTGGTGGAATTGGGTTGCCAGTCCAGACAGCCAATGGCGAGATTTGGATAGTCCACGCCGGTTCCTGGTACGGGATCGGGTCGAGACAGTAGTGTTGCATTGCCATTTAGCGATTCATTCATCGCATTCGACACCCAAATCCATTCGTTTGGACTCATAAAATTGTTCTCAAGATTGAAGATAAGATCGTAGCCCGTCACAGTAGCTTGGCATCTGCCAGCACTCTCTGTATCGGCATCGGGGAGGCATCCGGGAGCCGGTATAGGGTTTCGATTGGCCTCTGCGACCATTCCGTCCCATAAGTCAGCAGAATCCCACTCACCATAGATAGCGCAAGTGGTGTTGGAATTGCACCAGTCGAAGAACCGTCTCATTTCGTCTTCCATGGCCCAATTGGTCATGACAAAGCCTTCCAATTCTCGCATTGAATGATCCACCGCGCCATCGAGAACCATATTTCCGACCTTTTCGGGAAAAAGCTCGGCATATGCAGCGCCAAGTTGAGTCCCATAGGACCAGCCGAGCCAATTCAGCTTTTCTTCCCCAAGGGCGATTCGTATGGCTTCCAGGTCTTTGGCGGCATTTGTTGTATCTACAAAGCCCATGAGGGGTCCCGTGCGGCTCAAGCAGTCGGCACCTAGTCTTTTATTGAATTCGAGAATCTTCTCAAAAGACGCTTCGTCTTCGACAAAGTAGGATGGGGTTTCAGCCCAAAGCTCGGGATCGCATTCGACACGAGAGCTTTTGCCTACGCCACGAGGGTCTGGGCATATAATATCGTAGTGATCCTGGAGTGTTTGACTGTAGAGAGCTGGATCTCTCGCTTGTCCTTCGCATAATTCGGCAGCGGCACCCCCGGGACCTCCTGGATTGACAAACAGGCTTCCTATTCTCTTAGGACTGTTTGTTCTCAACCGAGTGATGTCCAGTGTGATTTGCTCTCCGGTGGGATCCAGCCAATTCATGGGCACCTGTAAGGTAGCACAGTCGAGGAGTGTGCTGGTTGCGTTGGCTTCGCAATGGGTCCATTCTAGCTGACTGTATGGACTCACGGGAGCTGCCCAAGCAAGCATAGGGCTCAAAAGCAACGAGAGGGGAACGTTGAAGCGCAACATTTTGTGAAATGCTCAAAGGCCAGGTTGGAGGCAGTGGCAGAAATCTAGAATGAAGCAAAACCATATACGTGGACACTGTCATACCTTTCAAGTAGTCGTTACCTGTGGCCCCACGATGACTTGTCAATTTGAAACGAGCCATCATCTGATTCAGGTGCCTAGACTTGCTAAGAGAACTTGCGACTCGGACATTGAAGTATTGACTGTAGTTTTAATCCTCGCATCGGGTATTGCGAGCCAGTTATGAAGCGGACCAGGTTATTGACCTTGGACAGACGGGATTGGTTGGTGTGCCATCACGGACCATCTGTTCCAGGCCGTGCAGAGGCCAATAGTATGCTCTAAAAGGGGCCATAAATAGAATCGGCAGAAAGAGGGAGCATGCCGTCCACCGTGAGATAGTTACCTGTCGAATTCATGTGTAACGCGTACCTGAGCGCAATGACTCTCGCATGTAACTCAGGATCATCAGTTGTGGACGTGTTGGGGAGAGATGAAACGAAAGCACAGTGAACGTTATGTTTGACCGTAACTGCAAAACTAGAGTCAACAGTGGGGCCCTCGGGCGGGGCATTGCGCCACAGCCGCCACTGAATCCTGAGACATATAATATACCTAACAAATGCATACTACGTAGTTATTATAGCCTCAGGTCCACAATGTGCTGGTCCGAGGTCATATGTCTTCTGTCTTCGAGACTGTCGTCTGAACCAAGGTATTGTGTTCAGCAAAAAAGTCGTGACCCAGACCATTCCTGATTCCCACACCGGTTGCTGTTGTCTCGGCTTATCTACTGACTATCAAGAGGCATCATGATAATCCTAGATATTGGCTTATACAAGCTGTTGTTCTACATTGACCCCATCTAGTGGACCTCATTGCTCCTCGAGCTCATCTCTCAACTCGATGACAAGGCTGGCCATCAGCCTCGTCGCCTGTGGGCCGCGCCAATCACGATAAGCTTATTACCTAATCAACTTGGCATCAAGTAATCACGAGCGACCTTCTCAGCCATGTGCATCACATCACAGATCTGGCTCCTCAGTAGCGAGAGGCTCAACCGCACCCAACCCCAACACTACCATCCCTTGCTCCCATATACCTACACGAACAATACGCCAGACATTCCCAACGAGTCCACACATATTTGGAAGGACAAAGCCCTCACGAGTGTCAACATGGGCTCACACAAACTATGATATTGTTGCACGCGGTAGAACCCTGTTCTCACAACCATGTCCCGTCCTGATTTCTCAGAAACTCAAAGGCCTGGCGCGTTCCAAGCCCTCCCAGGACGGGACTCTCTCGAATTAGCCTCCCTTGCCGATTCCGATCACGATGACCTCCCTACCTCCGGCTCTTCCTCCAGGTCTGGCATCTCTTCTTCGCGAAGGCTGTCATTGGAAAACGAAGACCCATTAGACAATGCAAACCCCGCTATCCGTCAGGGTCTCAGAGATCGTTCATACTCGGTCTCTTCGGCCTTCGATTTTACCCCTGCATTGTTTCCCTTGTCCTCGACTGCCGGTGGAGGTTACACTGCGCTGGGAAACCCTTCCTCTGTTTCCCTCGAACGACGCGGCAATCTTCAAAATCTTGAAAAGAACAAAACCCTGACATATCTTAATGGTCTCTCTCTTGTCGTAGGATTGATCATCGGTTCTGGTATCTTCTCTTCTCCAGCCCAGGTCAACTCCCACGCAGGCTCCCCTGGGGCCTCTCTCATTGTATGGGCAATCTCTGGACTGCTGGCATGGACTGGAGCGTCCTCGTACGCAGAGTTAGGAGGCGCAATCCCCCTGAATGGTGGTGCTCAGATATATCTAGCAAAAATCTTCGGTGAGGTGGTGGGATTCCTCTTCACCTGGTCGGGTATTCTGGTCCTCAAGCCCGGGAGCACAGCCATCATCGCCATCATCTTTGGTGAATACATTGTCAGAGCGGCGATTGGGGCGGAAGTCGAGGAAATCAACCCTTGGATCACCAAGGCCCCCGCCGTTGGTGCTCTGATACTGGTCACATTCCTGAATTGTGTTTCGACGCGCTTTGCAGCACGCCTAGGCGATCTGTTCATGTTCTTCAAGTTCGTCGCTCTCATCGCCGTCACCATTATTGGCGTTATCGTCGCCACCACAGGACTGTCCTTCAACGGACCCGCCAACACCGATTGGCGCACCCATCATTGGTTCCAAGGAACTAGCAAATCCATCTCCGATTGGGCCGTTGCTCTTTATGCCGGCCTTTGGGCCTTTGACGGCTGGGACAACACAAACTATGTGACGGGCGAGTTCAAAAACCCCAGCCGTGATCTCCCACGAGTCATCCACACTGCGATGCCTGCCGTGATAGGATGTTATTTACTAGCCAACATCAGCTATTTCTTCGTCCTCCCGCTCGAGACCATCAATAAGACCAATACGGTGGCGGTCCAATTCGGATCGAAAGTATTTGGCCCCATCGGCGCTCTCATCCTCGCTCTAATCGTCTCCGCCTCATGCTTTGGAGCTCTCAACGCCACAACTTTCACCTCTGGCCGATTGATCTACGTCGCCGGCCGCGAAGGGTACATCCCTGGACTTTTTGGTCGCATCGGGTTCGGTTATTCATCCAACAATGAGCCAACGCCACCAGTACAACTCAACAAACTCCGTCATCGCTCCTTCATATCCAAATTCTTCAGTCGCCTGTTTGGCGATTCTTCCATCGGAACATTCCACACCCCTATCAACGCCATGCTTCTCAATCTGGTTCTCAGCACCGTCTACATCGGTGTAGGCGAGTTCCGCACTCTAATCACCTTCTACGGTGTAGCCGGCTACACATTCTACTTCCTCACGGTCCTGGGCTTGATTGTCCTACGGATTCGAGAACCTAACCTGGAACGACCATATCGCACATGGATCAGTACGCCGATCATATTCTGTTGCGTCAGTCTCTTCCTGGTGTCTAGAGCAGTGATTGCTGAACCGGTTCAAACCGTCATCGTTCTCGTCTTTGTCGCCAGTGGAGTCCCCGTGTATTATTTGTGGGTGAGGAAAGGTGTTGAAGGAACGGCTGGAACTGGTGGTCGTGGCAGCACGAGGAGTGAAACCAGGTTTTGGAGGCGATGGGGGAGATGATGGGATTTGATATTATACTCTTCGTCGCTCCATATGTGCGCAGACGCAGACGAGAGCGAGTGTCACACCCGAGGCCTGTCTAGGATGTTTTGGATACAAATATAACCAAGAATGAATTTCTCAGGCTGAGCAGTAACCAAAATTTCCCCGTGACTGAATGCGCAGTGGTAAACCTTGAGTGATTGGCCTTGCCAGTCAAGTCATGGCAGTAATAACAACAACTTTAGTGCTTCATAGAACTACACACGTGAATCAAACAAGGCAGTAAGGCTTCGTGTAAGTACTTTTACATGCCAGAATTATGACTTATCTCCACATTGCACCGAAGCAACCCATTTTCACGTCCCAGGACTTGCAGCCAAGACAAGTAGATGCCATCGAGCCATGATATCAAACGTCTAGCGTTCTTCCTTCAGTAGAGCTCTGCCGAGCCAACTCGACCAGACGGATGACTTGGACAGCTTCTTCCACTGGGACAGGTGCTGGGGCCTGATGGTCTTTAAGGGCTTTCGCTAGCTGTCGGTAGTACTCGACGTAGGTTGGAGGCGGGTGAATGGTTGGCACTCTGCGACTTGTGATGACGCCATCTGTGACCGTGTTCAAGACTACATGGTGAGACTCTTGCTCAATGCCGAAGTTTGGATCACCGGGTTTCATGCCCTCTTTCCTCAATTGGTCTTCTTGAGGGTCGAGATGAAATTTCTTGAACGATCCCTTTTCGCCTCGAACCCAGAAGCGTAGCTGCTCCACCTCGGGACTGACCACACCCGCCTTGACTGTGACAAGCAGCTGGTTGTCGTAATGCAGGAGCACTGTGGCCGAGTCTTCCAACCCAGTTGTGTTAACGGCGCGTTGAGATCCAACAAACCCGGTGATGCGTTTGGGCATGCCAAATAGATGCACCACCTGGTCCATCAAGTGGGTTCCAAGGTCGTAGACGGCACCGGTGCCAGGAGCGTGATGCGCCTTCCAGTTATCAGCGGGTGGTTCTGGACGATGTCGGTCAAAGTGTGATTCGAATTCGACCACCCGCCCAAGGGTTCCATCATCGATGAACTTCTTCAAGGTTAAAAAGTCGGAATCCAATCGTCTGTTCTGATAGACGGTCAAGACGACACCTTGAGATTTGGCTAGATCAGCAAGCTCGCGTGCCTCTGCTGAAGTGGGGGTGAATGGTTTCTCGACCACCACTGTATTTCTGAGTTAGTTGTCTCTGTTTGTCGCGTGGGTACCTGCAGTAGGGAGGTATCCCAGCTCACCATGCTTTTTGGCTTGAAGTGCTAACTTGGCCAATGTTAGATGTGACTCAGGCGCGGTCGTGACAATCACAAGATCGACCTTTTTGTCATTGACTAGCTCATCCGCTGACCGGTAGACTTTAATCCCAGGGTTATCGCGACCTGCATCATCGTCTACCTTGGGAGTTCGCTGGACGACAGCGTAAAGATTGAAGTCGTCGACGGCATTGATGAATGGTATGTGGAATATCTTCGCGCTAAGTCCATAGCCAATGATGCCCACGTTGAACTTTTGTGTGGTCATCCTGTTGGCGGCTTGCTTCTTCTATGCGATTGGGACCAAGGCTCACTATGTGATGCGGCTGGAAAAGTTCAACTCACGTTGACGTTATTATTGTTGAGGTGGGGGAGGGGCATAAGCATTTGAAGCACATGCCTGGGCTCCGTTCCTGCCGCAAGACGCACATGTGGGACTTGGCATCAAATACATTTGAGAGCAGGTACCGCATAAACAATCAGGCAGGCGCGATGGACCAGGGTGAGTCCTTATACACGTGATGAAGCGTATGCCTCGTAAGTTGGCCGCAGTCTGGCTGTCTCTGAGCATATTTAAGTCATACCCTACCTGCTCTCTAGATGCTGAGTTCTCTTCAGAGGTCAAGCGAGAGCAGTGATTCCTGCATTTCTAAGTACTTTCTTCTGGGTTTGTCAAATGGTGGCCAATATCTGTGACAAACCCCTGTATTTCCGTGGTACTACGATTCCAAGTTCACTTGGAATCCCTCAAATCCGGTCCAAAAACATCGGCATCCCGTGCACTCTTCTCTCTCTCCAATCTCCTCTTCTTTGCCTTTGCTTCTTTGTCACTAGCATCACCTTCTCTCTTCTCTGCGGCCTTTGCTCTCGCTACCGCGACGATATCGACCTTTTCTGGGTTCTGGCAAACGGTCAATTTCTTACCAATTCTTTTCATCTCCTTTCTTGATGCTGCATCGTTGTCTGGGCTCTTGTAGTCCTCCAATAAACTGGCACAAGACGAGATTGTGGCGAGGAGTTTCGTCCTAAAAGCCTCCCTGGCCTTTTCTTCCTCAGCGTCGTTCACGGGAAGCATGCCCGAAGGTAACTTTCTCAATCCATCTATTTTGGCGTCGAGGTATCTCTCCACAAGTTCTCGATCCGCCACCATGACTGCCCCCAGCCAGATCTGTGCCGGAGTGAAGAGGAAATACGCATCTGTCATCTGTGCCGCGGTGGCCAGGAGTTCTTTTGCTTGGTCTGCTGCGGCACCGATCCTCTTCTCCCTATCTCTCCGCTCGCCCTTGATTCCTCGAATAAGTCCCTCCTCGGCCATCTCATTCATTTCGATGTGTCCCCCTTGGAGCCCTTTCATAGGATGCCGCACATCGAGGGTGAAACGTAGACCCTGTAATAGCAGGAACTCAGGGGCTTTGACGTTGTCTTCTGAGACATTTGCGAGTTCACTGATGAATCGTGGCAAAGAAATGTAAAAATGGTCGGACTTGGTCGCAAGGTATAATGCGCACATCATAATTTGTTTCGGGTGGTAGGTCATGGGACTATTAGTGAGGTAGAATCGACGAAGATATTGAATCGCTGTGGCCTAGAAGTAGATAAGACCCGGTTTGATTAGTGGGATGAGGACTTGAAAACTGTGGGCTAGGGAAGGATACATGAACTTCAGTGCTGACTTTGTAAGCCGATGGAGGAATTGGAGTGGAAGACGCAACGTGATAGTGCCGTGCTATTCACCTGTCCCCGCAAATAACACAAAGGCGGATGTAATTGATAGGGACAACGTACCACGATCGCCGTAGGGATTCTTGGGTTCATGGCCTCTCCCATGTCCATGATCTTCTGACACCCCCACTCCACGATCTTGAGCTCCTCATCGACCGTCAAAGTTTGGATCTCAACCAAATCCTCGCCGACGTCCGGAGACAGTTGCGTCTTCTCATTGTCTACATTAGCATCAGCGTCGGTATTGCTATCCGCCGCTCCATTGCGTGACGTTTTGGCTGCAGTCTGAGCCCTTCGAAAAGCGGCGCGAACCCTCTCAGAGGCTAGGTCATTAGTGTTGTGCCGGATTCGTGACAATGATTCCTTCGTATATGACCAGTACCGATATTGGGAGGACGCCCGATAAGCGTCGTCTTCAATCATGCTGAGGAGTTTCGATTCATGCCAGCTGTTGTGGATGACAGGAGGTACGACTTAGTGTTGACCCATATGACCAGGACACGGCTGGCTGACAGCCCGGCTGGACCTGCAACTCAGGTGACTTGGTTGGTACGTCACTTATCAGCTGCTTGGCTTGCAAACAACAGACGCAAATAGTACCACTGAGGAGTTATCCTGTTCAAAAATAGATGATAGACTGTGAATGAACAACCATGGTTTGATCTTCGCTGGGCCGTTGAGAAGGATTTATGTGCCAAGCAGATATTGCTAAAGCAGCGTCAATAACTTTTGACTCGAAAGAGGCGCAATACTCGCTGCTTTAGCTACCGACTTTATTTAAAACTCGTATCCCTTAATGTTCAGTCCACAAATCGTGGAACTCTGTAATCGACATAAAGACCCTCATTATTCGCCTTGGATGCGCAGGCAGGATTGATAATTAGGCATAATCATTTCTTATGGATCGTTAAAGTCTCATTGGTTTACAATCACCCCAGGATTCGACGCTCTGAGACGCCATTTCGAATCTCGGTTGCTGTGTGACATACAGCCGAACGTTTGGTCAGGTACCAGTGCTTTTGTGCCTTGCCCTTGCCTCTCAGAGTCTTATCGAGGTATTAGAGGCCGTTCAAGGCTCGCCTAATAATCTGGCAGTGATATCTCCCATGTAAGCCTCCTCTAGTTCGTAGTCCTGGCCACCATTTCTGTCGATGCCGACATAATTGAAGGCCTCAACGACTCTGTCCACATCGAAGCCCATGAAAACGAAACGATCAATGAGCTCCTTGTTGTAGCCATCATAGATCGCCGTATTTGCGTCTTCCTCTTGCTCAGCGTTCGCTCTGTCCGCCGCCAGTGAGGAAGCATTATTCCCTCCGCTGCTCTCTCCTGGGGTGGTCTTGGGAGCACCGGCATATTTGATCGCCCATTCCCTTGCATGTCTTTCAAACTCCTTTGGGTGCTTGATCAATTCTTGTGCTACCACGGCGTCTTGAGGATCTTTAGGTTCTGGAGAGCTGAGTAGTGATTGTAGTGAAATCAAAGCGGATTTGATGGTGAGAACTGGTGACCATCCAGTACCGAGTGTGTCGAGACAGATAGCACCCTAAAAGTTTTATTAGAATCTCAGGTGACTCGACTAAGGAGGTTTGCAGGACTTACGGTTTGACTCGAGATATTGGGGTGCCAGATTTGAGTGGTAAATTTCATGACGGGCGGCTTGAAGGGGTATTCATTTGGGATGGTGATCGACACTTCATATGTTCCTCCTTCGTATGGTGTGCCCTCTGGGCCCTTAAACGAGCCTCGAAGGTTGGTGATGCTGTCGTTGACCGTCTCTGCAAAAATTTGGGACTTGGTGTCGGCACGAATATCCGCCAGATCCTTTGCTATCCGCCGAGCCTTATGTCCTGCCATTTTGCTAGAGTACGAAGCGATTAAGTTGACGCTGAGAGCAGAGAGATCTGGTGAAAGATGCGGCTATGTTTGTTCCCGCACTAGGATGGGAATGAGGCAGAGGACGAGGAGGAGTTGGAGGTCGACGGCGCAGAGTAGTCTTCTCAAGGCGACAACTTGCGCCGGAAGTCAAATGAAAAAGAGTGATGAACGGTCACAGAGACAATGTCGATCTGGAGGACGACGCATCAATGGAAGATGTGGGAACTAGAGTTGGGACTCGAGCGCAGGCACACAGTAGCCCAAGAGGGAACGCAGGGAGTGCAGTGAAGCGGGAGACAAACACAAACAGTTCAAATGAGAGTGAAGCAAAACAGAAATATGTCACACAGCCGAGGAAGACGTGTTGCCCAGCATGTGGCTTAATAAATGGCAAGGATGGATATGGTGAGATGGTGTATGTGGACGGATGAGATGGATGTACAGATGACTTCCGCAGCCTTGTTCTCAGTCCTCAAATATCAGTGGTCCGCGCACAGAGGAAGACCGATGCCTAACCCATGTTGCAGGCGCCAGTGCCTAAGTAGTCGCTGCTATAATAATAATTATGTGCCATACCTGGACAAAGTCTTGGAGGCTAGTACTTTAGCAACCAACTAATCCTTCTGACGCTAATTGGGCGGCAAGTGGCCCATCGCCAGGCGCGACCTGCAATCGTCACGCATCTGTGACTGCCACCTGCGATTTAGTTGTTGCCCTTGGACTCTTGTAATCATCAATCACTCCCTCTGTTACCAACCATCACCATCTCCCCTTCTCCGTCCATCTATCAATCTGTTCATCATCCATCTCTATCTGTGTTCGCCCTTTGCGATCCCGTTTCCCACCTCCTGATCTAATTCACAATGGTACGATCGATCGCCCTCCTTTCTGCATCCTCTCGCTAACTGCCTGTCTAGGGAAATCAGCAATCGCAGATGGGCGGAGGTCCTCCAGGACAGGGAGGCAAAGACGACAAAGATAAAAAGGCATGAGCTTTCTCATCTCTATGTGCTTGAATGGTTCACTGACTGCGATTTAGAAGGATAAGCCCAAGTACGAACCACCCCCTCAACCCACGACAAGAATCGGCCGCAAGAAGCGCAAGCAAGCTGGTCCAAATGCCGCTGCAAAGCTACCCACCATCTACCCTACGGCTCGTTGCAAGCTGCGATACCTGAGAATGCAACGTGTCCATGACCATCTTCTTCTCGAAGAAGAGTATGTTGAGAACCAAGAACGCCTTCGAAAGTCAAAAGCCGCTCAGAACCAACCCGCAGCCGCAGCTGCGGAAGGCGAGGCCCTCGATCGAAACGCCGATGAACGAAGCAGAGTAGATGACATGCGCGGAAGTCCCATGGGGGTTGGCAACCTGGAGGAGCTGATCGATGACGACCACGCCATTGTCTCCAGCGCTACTGGCCCTGAATACTACGTCTCCATCATGTCCTTTGTCGACAAAGACCTTCTTGAGCCCGGTGCCTCAATCTTGCTCCATCACAAATCTGTGTCCGTTGTGGGTGTTCTGACCGATGACGCCGACCCGCTGGTCTCGGTGATGAAGTTGGACAAAGCCCCAACAGAGTCCTATGCCGACATTGGTGGTCTCGAACAGCAAATCCAGGAAGTCCGAGAAGCCGTTGAACTACCGTTGCTGCATCCTGAGCTGTACGAAGAGATGGGTATCAAGCCTCCAAAAGGCGTGATTCTATATGGCGCCCCTGGTACCGGTAAAACTCTGCTCGCCAAAGCCGTCGCCAATCAGACTTCTGCTACCTTCTTGCGTATTGTTGGGTCTGAGCTTATTCAGAAGTATCTTGGAGATGGCCCTCGGTTAGTCCGTCAGCTGTTCCAAGTCGCCGCGGAGAATGCACCCGCCATTGTCTTTATTGATGAGATTGATGCCATCGGAACCAAACGTTATGAATCAACTTCTGGTGGCGAGCGAGAGATTCAACGCACGATGCTGGAACTACTCAATCAGCTTGACGGCTTTGACGATAGAGGCGACGTCAAGGTCATCATGGCAACCAACAAGATTGACACTCTCGACCCTGCTCTCATCCGACCAGGACGGATCGATCGTAAGATTTTGTTCGAAAACCCCGACACCAACACCAAGAAGAAGATTTTTACTCTACATACCAGCAAGATGAGTCTAGCAGAAGATGTGGACTTGGACGAGTTCATCGCGCAAAAGGACGACCTCTCTGGGGCCGACATCAAGGCCATCTGCTCAGAGGCCGGACTGCGGGCCCTGCGTGAACGGAGAATGCGAGTCAACATGGCGGATTTCAGAAGTGCGAAGGAGAGCGTGATGAAGACTAAGAACGAGGGAGAGCCGGAGGGATTGTATTTGTAGGTTGTTGAATCTCGCCGAGTGGGACTCTGCCTCGACGAGGCTAGGAGATGATAGACGAGATGTGACGGCTTTGGAATTTTGCCGCCAGGTCTGTACAGTAATTGGTCACCGGTGCTTAGATTTCAAAACCAAACCGCACAGATGGATCAGATCCTGAGCCTTCCATCAACATGAAAACTAGCAGTGCACAAGTGCTTTGAGAAAGATGTCTTTAGGAAGGGTATCGCTATCCGAGACTAAAATATCGAGTCATTGTCATGTCATTGGCGTCCGCTCCCTGTACTCTTCTCGCTGATGATTGCATCTGCGAGCGGCAACAGACGTGGCTGAGGTCATCTCATGTCTATCTTGTAAAAACGCGTGTATATCAGGTAACTCTCAACATGTGCACTCCTGTCCTGCTCTCTCAGGGAGATTGGCGTTCTTGTCACAGGGTCAGCGTCTGTCTGTGGGCAGTAGACCACAGCAGTCCTGGCCAGACGAGTGGAACGTCAGACGACAGTGCACTTTGCACTGTCCTTGTACACCTATCCGCCTTGTCGAATGATCCAACCTTTAATCGGACGTGGAACCCTTATCACATCCGATTCTTCCTAATAGCTCCTTGCGATCGCTGCTGCCAGCCAAGAGGTTGACACCGGAAGCATGAGCAGATTCGTGCTTCCGCCTGGCACTGGACGAGGACGAGACGCTCGATGTTCGGCCGAGGGTGGGAGAACTCGACTTGGACTTCGACCGCGAGTTTGGGAGCGAACGAACATTTGTATGTGACAGAGTAAATCCAGGATCCGTGCTCAAAACTTCCTTCTCGACGAAAGGTAGTGGCTCCATATTGGCATGGACATGGTCGATAGCAGATTTGTTATGGCTCTCTGTCGCTTCCTCCTCGTCATCACCTTCATCGTCGGAACGTGAGTCCTCAGCGCCCTGCCCTGTCACAACCTTGTAGGCAACGCGGATGACCATGTAGAACCAGCCGAGAAGAACGCATTGTAGGCCACCAAGACCGCCCAAGAAGGCCCATTTGATATTGTTATTCCAGCATACTAAGCCCACAGGGTCACGGAATGGTTGGATCAAGTGACTCCAATCATTTGGGATTGGAAACGGGCCTTGAAGGGTTTCAACACTGCCTCGGTAGCAGCCGTATTGAATTTCCTGAGGTATGTGATGGTAGATGCTGTACAAAACTGCCATGAATATGACGTGCCGGGTGAGGAACCAGATTAAAATGAAGGCACCAAAGGCGATATCGCAGGCCGTCTCGTATTTGAGGTACTTGAGAATTTTGGCAAGGGGGAGGAGAATATCGACAGTGTCCATGAGACAAATAAAAAGGGTGCCGACTCGATACTGATGGTAGCCATACGAGGTAAAGATGAGGCAACAGGTGATGATATGGTGGGTGAACATTTGCCAATGATCCTTTCGGCGTTCCTCGATGTTGACCACGACGATCTGTTGTAACCAGAAGCCGAATTGGACGAGATAATACCATTTGGCAAGGCCGTCCATTTCACGACTTGGCCAGTCCTTCCATAGGGCACGGAGGTCGAGCCAATAGTTTGAGTTGTACATGACATAGATGCCTGTGGCCCAGGACATGGAGTAATAAATCAGGATCCAGGCTTGCTCGGAAAATCGGACCTTTGGCTTCCTTTTCTTGAGGCCTAAGGTCGAGGCGAGAGGGGTGAGGATGTAGTCCATGACGGAGCAGCGCAGGCCAGTGAAGACTACGAGCCAGTAGAAAATGAAGAAAACATCATCCCAGCCCAGGGCAAAGGTGCCAGTGGCGGGATTGTAGTAGGAGATGCGGAAGAATTTTTGGGTGTGACGTCGAGCATCAGGAATGAATGCGTGTATGAAGAATAGTAGAGATATGGAATAGAAGGAAATACCTAGCTATGATCAGCAAGATGAAGGCTTTGCGCCATGGGGTTTGACGACGTCGAGTAGTTTCGAGGACTTACTGATTTGGTGATCTACCATCCATGAGCAAATCAAGGCAATGGTGCTCCTTTCTTTCCCTTTTTTGTGCCACCGTGGTAGAACGGTTTTCTGGGATGGTGATTGGGCATGCTGTCTGTGTTCCACCATTTGGACAGGAGGCTGTTGGACTTTTTCTTGATCGATCAGATTGGAGTGGTCCGACGTCTCATGGGCCACAGTCTTTTCCATGTTTGCGACTTTGACAGTCAAGGTCGCTGGAGCCAGAAATAGAGTGCAAAGTCGGGGACTGAAGTCAGCGCCAATAGAGGGGAATATGTCGGTTCAGCATAGGCGTTGGTGAGATTTGTTGTATGGGCGACCAGCGCAGCCAATGCAATTGCAGGAATATGAGGTGGAGGGGGCGGTTGGGAGCGCAAGTTAAGTACGGGGTCGAGGAGCAATAAGCGAATGACTTGTCTGGATGATGGCACACTTCTCGCTAATGCATGGCAGGCAAAGGAGAGACGAGAGGTGGAGGAGGAGGTGGAGGATAGGATAAACTTGTTGACGATTTTGGTAACGGTGGTGTGGTGGTGGTGGTTGTGGTGATGTTGCTGGTGCGGGATTGGTGTAAATTTCAAGTTGTGTGAGAAGAAGTCACCACCCCAAGGGAGTCAGGGTGTCTGGGTAAAATGGGCAACTGGGCAACTAGCCACCTAGCATCGGTTAAACAGCTTCAGACAAGCAAGATTTAAAAGGGCCAGTGATAAGACAGAAGAAGAGGAGCGGAGATGGAAGAAATGGCCAGACACACCAGACACGGATGAGGGGACGAGGGGACAAGTACTCCGTTACGAGAAACGAAAAACGAGGGGGCAGTTGGGGATCTTGGGTGCTTGGGTGCGTGCTTGGGCTCCTTGGACAGCTTGGAAGTTGGGATTTTTAGGGCGTGGCGTTGGCTGCAGCTGGCCGAGGGGCTCTGGATGCTCTGCTGGTCGAGAGCTTATCGGCAGTGGATCTGCATAGGAAATATAAGGTACCTAATTAGATCAGATCAGATGCTCAAGAGCACCTGCTTCCCTATCGTCCAGGTGCATCTTGCGTCTGCCCAAGATCCTAAGATCAATACTTTCTAAGTACTCCGTAGGTCGCTCCTCCCTCCTAATCCAATGTGCATTTTTCTTTCCCCAAATTACAACTGAAGCTGTCTGTTGCCTCAAGCCTCAAATGTGTGGATATGTGCTGCGCATCCATTTCCCATCATCAGCCTCTTTAAATCGGACACATGGGATCAACAAGCGGTGACGGTGCGGTGACCGACCGACGTGGGTCCAAGTCTGCCGTAGCTCCTCCAGCCTCCCCTGATGGTCAAGATATCCGTAGTGTTGAGTGATCGTGTCAGAAGCCTACTCACACGGTGACCGACTAGTATGTACTGTACATAGCACTTGTGTCAACCATGGTCATGCTCATAACTCCACCTAATGTGGCTTCTGCAATCGAGCTGAATTCCTAAACTGGCTGCTTTCGCCCCTCCAAGCCAGAGCTTCTATGCAAACCTTCGTATAGCCATCTCATACAGGAAATGATGCTTGCCAGGAGTATCGCGCCATATGAATTGGCACCGAGACATCCACAGGGGTCGTTACCTCTTTGGCTCCTGTAATCGCTGAGGCACTGAGACAAGCCACAGCACATTAGCATGTTATTCCAAACAGATCAGGAGCCACCAGCATAACCCGATCAAAAGGAGTATTGTACCTAGGTGCTACCCTACGCACAGTATGCATGCATCATCCTGACTCTCGCATCCCCATTGCTTTTCGCCCAGTTGATCACAAGTTGACAACCTTCACAATCCACAAATCGGAGGACCAACGGTGGAACCACAATCACTCATTCGCTAGGTCTCTGTTTTAACATCCTCTTCTGTCTCTGAAAGCTGCCATTTAACGCTCCATCTGTCAAGTCATTCGTCCCCAATTACTAAACAAGGATCAACAAAGAAAATCCTAGTTGCCACCATCTCTGTAAATCCATCACATTCAAGCCGGAAGGTGCATTTCAAGGGTAGATTCCACCCCCGTATGAATTGCGCTTGCAGATCATCCATCCCACCGCGACAATATTTGCCAAGAATTTACCCCAACTCGTTCTTCCCTAAAGTCGCGTTTCACCAAAAATTGTGTCATTTGATACCGCGACTGATAGCCATGGATGGCATGAATATACCCATATCACATAACCATGGCTGAAAATGCCCAAATTGCAGGCCACAAACGAAAGCAAGCCCCTAATCACTCTGCATCATCCTCAAGTGCCCAGAAACGCATCAAACGCCACGATGCCCGTGCAATACCCGTCCAGAGGTCGCAGCCTGCCCTCTCAGCAGCCGGCGAACTCAACATCGCATCGTTCGTCAAGGCTCGTGAGTTCGAACTTGATGCTATCGACCGCAGCATTGTAAAGGCAAGAACGGCCCTTAGTACCAGGGCTTTCCAACAAGTCCCGAGAAATATGAGGAGAAGAACGGCCAGCCACAATGCCAAAAAGGTTCCCCGACGCTTGCGTCCTCGAGCGATCCGAGAAGTTCGTTGTCTATCTTCTCAACATCAATTCTGTTATGAGCTAATAGGGCTGACCAGGAGGATCGCAGATGAAGGAAGACAACACTCCAGTGGTCAACAAACGAACGAGACAGCCGTCCAACAAATTGCGACTGAGACTCGAAAGGGCTAAACTTCTGCAGAGCATGAACAGACACACCAAGACAGTTCGCCAGAGAAAGAGAGAAGCCAAAGCCAACCTGAACCAGCCAGACCCCGAGAACCATGTTTCGCTTTCACACATTCCGCGACCCAAGACGAGCAAACTCGCTCAGGCACCGAGGGCTACCACAAAATACAAGAAAAGACAGGTCAACAAGACGTGGTTGCCTACTCATCTTTGGCATACAAAGCGAGCTCATATGCCACGGCCGACCCAGCCCCTGTGGAGAATGGCGATTCCTTTGTCACCCACGGAGAAGAGTTATCGACCTAGCCATCGCGCCGCAGGAGCCCGCGGATGTATTGCTTGGGATTCAAGCTACATGTCCACAGTCTCTTGTCGAGGCACTCTGTCCGCCTTAGAGAAATTGCTCTCAGCACTATCCTTCAACCCAGACTTGACATCGTCTGCGCTACTCAAAAAATGGAAAGCCGGAACTCGATTCGCCCAAGGCTGGCTTCATGAACGAGACGCCAAAACCCGCCCAATTGCTCCTGCCGTTGTCCTGTGGTGTTCCAATTCGGAAAAGAAAGACCCAGACGTCGAGTTGTCTGCGGAAAATGGCCAGGCACATGGAAGCGACAAGCCTAACGGGAAGTCAAGACTCGACCACCAACTACTGATTCGAGTTCACCCTTCTGCCTTCCACCACTTCTGGGAAGAAATACTCAAAGCTGCAAAAATTCAAAAGCCCCAGGTCTTGGTAGAAGATCTCCGCTTCGAGATCGGTAGCATCGACGTCCAAGGACCTGGATCCACAGATGCCCTCCTCGGCGTCTTACGTCCGGTGAGTCCCGAGCGAGGCAAACCGAGCGTCCACGCAGCCACTTGGACCTCGTTGATCGGATTGACCAACCCCGCAACGATCTCTCAGAATGCTGTATTGTCATTCAGTATTACCGACTCGCGCCTCCATCACCCGCCAAAGCAACTCAAAAGCTCGACAGATGGTATGCAAAACTCATTGACCGAGACACTGGTTTCATGGCCTCCAGACAAAACACCAACTGCGTCCCCTCTTCTATCCCACAAGGAGCGCTGGAGACTAGTGAATTCCCTGCTTTCCCAAAAGGCGATCAATCGCAGGAAAGCCTTGTCCCCCCCAGGTCAAGCCCCAAGTTCCAAAAGCACAGACCCCCATATTCCTGTTATAATCATAGCTTCACGGCCGGAGCACTCCTCCCAAGGAATTGCCAATCATTCTCAAGGCACATGGACCGTTCTTCTTCCATGGCAGTGTGTCGAGTCGGTCTGGCGATCCTTGATGTATTATCCGCTAACCTCTGGAGGTACACCGCGATTTGGGGGCCTCAAGCAGAAGCAGCAGTTGGCGTTCGAACAGCAAAGTGCCTGGTTTCCAGCTGATGCGCCGGGCACCGAGGCTGGAAAAGCTTGGGAGCGTACCGAGAGCGAAAAACGCTTCGATGAGTGGATAAGGCGGCCCCCAAAACACCGCATTGCCTGGGATAAACTCGACCTTGGTTATGCAAGACTAGGAGAGCTGGGAAGAGGCTGGTGTTGTGACTGGGAATACTTGTTTGAGAGCAAAGCTCCACCTAGCCACCTCACAACTCCAGCCAATCCCAATCAGCTGTCGACAGACAATACTGCAAAGCTGCTCACAAGGCGCCATCGCAAAGCAGCTGAGAATTCACATAACACAGAAGCAGACAATCGCAGAAGAAATACCTCGAGCCCTGAAACCGATACTGAGATAGTGGATGCTCCTCTGGTGAAGCCCGATACGCCTTTTGCCCAGCTTGATCCCACCGCGGGTGTGTCAATTCTAAAGCACCCGGATTTGAATCGACTGCCATCCAGTCCAGTCCTCCTCACCATTCGCATCACGTTTCTGGATCGTGGAACACCTGCAGCCGGAGCTCGGGTTTATCGATTACCGACTCCAATAGTCAACGGAGCAGCTGAATCTAGAAGTGTGGCTTCAGATTATCCTTCTCAGCACGACCAAGCGGCCTGGGGATCATCTGATCTGCCACCTCCTCAGCCCCATTCATCGAGAGTCTCTGTCGACAGGTCCTCCTCCCCAACAACCAAATGCCCCGATATACGCAAAGCATGGCTAGCCCTCATAAGATCAACATCAGCGTCAGGACGACTCCCTAAGCAGCACACCAATCGGTTCAACCTTCCGACGAAACAATCGGCATACCTGAGAGAATCATTGGCTCAGATTAATGTCCTGCCCAAGAATGCTCCGCAAGAAATTGTAGACAAGTTCGGGCCCAACAGCGTTTTCGGCCGCGGTGATGGCGAGACGCCAAAGCTTACTCGCACGAAAAACAAGAAAATGACCGAGGACAAGCAAGTGGCGAATGCGACATCAGCACCAACATCATCCGATGCTCGAATCCAAGTGCAAGCCGAGCTCCAGCCTCAGGCAGCACACTTGAAGACCGTGACCACTCTGTTCAACGTCGTGGGTCCGGAGTCTCCGTGGGACAAGCACCCTCCTGTGCCTGATAGACAGCACCTGTTGGGCTTTGTCACGAGTGGAGGCTACAACCTGGCCGAGGGTCGTGGGACTGCGATTGGCAGTATCTGGGCCCAGCGGCTTCTCGAGGGCTGGGCCGTCGAGGATGCTGCTACTGCCAGGGATCCGACCTCTCACACGGTCAAATATCTGTGCATCGTACGCAATGCTGGTGAGAGTATAGGTCGTCTCGCTCGGTGGGAAGTCTGTCAAAGTTGCAAGTAGACCACTCGGCGGGGTGAGTCAGCAACTTTCGTCACCCGTCAGGATATACACACTCCGAAAATGACATTTCATGACTTTTGCATCGTCTATTGTCGCAGTAACATTCTTTCTAAAGAAAGCATTCTTCCACACCGTGTCATGATCGATCCTTGATAGGGTCTTGGCCATTGAAGGCGAGGGTGAGACAGTTTCTCACCCTCGTATGATTGATTTCTAGGTCTGCCCCATCCTTCTGAAATGGTGACATGGCTGCTGTAAAGTACTGGTATCTCATAAATACATATCTCAAGGTGGGGGTATCATTTCAACTTCTTCTCGCCTCGCTTGCAACAAACAACATCACCGAAACCGAAATGAAAAGGGGGACGATATCATGTCCCTGGCAGCAGGTCACACTTCCTTCTTCCCTTCGTCTGCCGCCGTGTTGTGTCTCTGGGTGTTGTGTATGTGCAATTTTGTTTTCATGGTCATCAGACGCTCAAACCTTCGGGATTCCCCAACTCCACGCTTGCTGAGCCCAAAATACTCTCACAACCCGAACCTGACCACGAAATTGGTGAATTCAACAAAGGTGTAATAATGGTGATGAGACGAGAAAGACTGTGTCGCAGTCATCAACCTAGATTGCGTAGTTCTCGGCGTGTAGGAAGATTTCATCCTTTCCGGAATCGCTCCAAACATCGCTCTGGAGTCTTGCTACCGTTCCGGCAACGTCGGTTCTCATCTCTGGTGGTCCACACACGTAGACACATGTTCGTCGACCAAACTCTCTGCTCATCCCCTTGAGCATATAGGGTATGTCTGGTCGTCCGTATTCTGTTCGCCAGCCATCTCGTCGACTGTTGATGACGTTGGTGGGGAGAAATGCGAAGCGCATGAGGTTTTTCTGGAATTTTGTTGGGGTTTGGGGAAATCCAAAATCAAAGGCTCTTGTCGCTTCGATCTGAGCCTGAGAGATGGTAGACATGCGTTTGGCTGACTCCTGATCGGGGATGGTTAGGTGACGAGGGGGTGCCATGTATGATTGTGGAAGGGCTGTGATGGTGTCTTCAAACTCTTTCTTCAGGTCTGGTTCCTGTTCCATCATGACCAGAGCCGAATTCCGCTTGCTCCCAGCGTTATGAATGGCACCGGAGATTTTATCTCTGATTCCACTCAGTCGATGTTCTTTCACTTCAGGCAGATGTTCATATCTCTTTGCTGCGGTGACGAAGAAATGGCACTGGACAGACCCTGGTGGTGCACATTCTCTGCAGATGCGTAGTTCCTCTTTGAACCATTCCATGATCTCTGGTCGCTTCATGGCCCAGATGACATAGACCTTGGTAGTTGTGGCCTTGCCGTCACGCATCCGCTTGATGAGATCGAGCAATTGGCTGGTGATGGCGGTGATGCCACTGCCTCCAGCAAAAAAGACAACAGTGTCGAAAGATGCCATTTGGCGTTGCATGCCGCCGTAGGGCCCTTCAATGAAGGCTCTGTAGGTCTTGTAGGGTCCCTTGTTGATGGCCGTGTCACGGACCTTGCGGGTGAATCCTTGGAATGGTCTGAAGACCAGAGTCATGTCGCGATATTGTTCGCCATATTCCGAGGGAAAGTCGAGGCTGCAGAGCGACGCAATGGTGAAGGGGTGGTTTCCCAATACGGAGATGCCGGGCATTCTCAGATAAGCATACTGCCCTGGTTTCCAACGTTTCTGTGTGGGGATGGTGACCTTGATGGCGTTTTCTGGAAGAATAGTGACGGCAGACTCTTCGCCGATGAGCCACGAAACACGGAATGGATTCATCCAGTTGAGGAAAAACAGGCGAACAAACAAGGAGATGACCATTATGGCGACCGAGGTATACAAATATGCCCATGATGCCAAGAAATTGCTGCAGTGCCAGAACAGGAGTCCAATGAAGGCCCAGGCGAAGGGGATGTGCAAGAAGACGAAGAATTCATAGGCTTTGGCTCGGAGGATTGGCAGAGAATGCAAGGCGAGAAAGAGGAGTGGAGCAAGAGCAGCAATGCCTGTGGTGAAGATGTAATACTCCTGGTGGAAGTAAAGCTTGAAGGTGGCAAAGCCCTCTGGGTCTCTGGCGGATTGAACCCAGTATGGGATGGCATGGATCAATGCAAAGAGGACGCACAGGTAGGCAGTCCATCGATGCAGAACAATTAGACGTTCATGACCGATGCCAGTAAGCATAGAAACTGGGTTGGCCTTGGTGGCCAGAACGACAATCCATGGAATCAAGGAAACGGACATCATGCCGGCTCGGATGGCCAGTGGTGGGGAGCCATACGACATGGATGCGTAGTATAGTGGCTGAGGGAGGAAGCAGTAGAGCATTGATGCGGTCACACAGATGGACATGACGACAACTACCCCAAGGGAGGGGAAGGTGAATGTGAATGTACCAAGACGCAGGGCTGGTACAGGTCGATAGAAGATCCAGCGGAAGAAGGCAATGGTGTTGTTGATGGGCGCGATGGCGGACATGGCAGCTTGTCGTCTGGGTTTTTCGGGGACGAGAGTACCTTTGGAAGGGAAGAAATGCCGTTGTGAGAGATCGGTGGCATCGCTCATAGCACTGGGGAGCTCATGACTCTCATGGTAACCGTAGGGACCGTAGGGAGAGAAGCCAGCTGAGATTGCTTCGTTGGCCGAATTGATGACTTCTTCCTTGTACAGTGCCGTTCGAATTTTGTCTCCCCAATAGTAATACATGCGCATCAGAGTTGTCGTAACCACCAGGATGATGCCAATGAAGACGAAGAGGAGACCATACTTGGAGGAGTCCGTGAAGGGGTCTTGCTTGATGGCTTCGATCAGGAGTGGAGGTGTGGTGCTGTTGATGGGAATGTTGACTCTCTTGACAAGCTCATCCATAACTTGTTCGATTGGGGACGCATCGGACCTGGCACTCAGCTCCGCCAGTATATCTGTGGAGAGTAACGGCATGTCGTGGGCAGACCAGAATATGATGGCGTTCAGAAGACCATTGAACACATCAACGAAGGTGACGACAAGGGTCACACTGTTATGGATGAGATGGGCTGACGGGCGAAGGGGCCAAACAATAGGTCAAATTGAGGTCTGCGATTGGTGGTGCAGTTCAATTGGTGAAGAAATGTTCTTCGCAGGAGATCGAGGCAAGATATGACGGGCTGATGGGGCCAACTCGAAAATACAGGTCTCGGGCTTTTGGGTCAGTGGAGAGGTCCAGCTCTCACTTTGAACGAAGATGAAAACGAATGGTGGCAAAGGACGAATGCAGGAATGTGGAGGAAGTCTTGTGCAATGGATGGAAGAGGGACTGTATTTGCGTTATAGAGGAGGTGTTATCTTCAGGCAGAGAGGAGAAACATTGTCAAGATAGGAGCACGCAGGACAGGTGACGAAGAATGATCGCGCTTGGGGAGGAATTACTCTGCTTGATGGTTAGAGTGATATTGAGACATGACGAGAAATCCAAGCAACTACTCAGCAAGTTGAGCAATCGCAAAGCAGCGGAAATGCAGCTATCAAAGCCCAGGGAATTGTGGTTGCTGCTTTCAATGGTCGAACAGATTGTCGAGGCATGAATGGTGACTTGTCAGCGCTTCGAGCGTGGATTACATTGGTCATGGCCCACATGAGGTCCGTAGAAGCTTGTGAAGTGGAACCTGGGGCGGACCGAGGACCAGACGATCACGGGCAGGGCGGTTTTGGGAACGAGAATGGATAGATCGAGAAAAAGATGCTTGAAAACAGGTGTAGGAGAAGACTGATTGGCTCGGAGGGGTGATAAAGTAGGCCATCATGCAAAGGAGAGGATGGAGAGATGAATGGGTAGAGAGAAACCAGAGAAACCCGAGAAACCCGAGAAAACCCAAGAAACAGGGATTTGTGTGTCTACGAGGAAGAAGGATGGACAAAGTGGATGCAGCATGCAGGCACTGCAGTCGCGTCAACAGAAACTCGAAGAAGTCACGGCCGGGGCAAATAAGAAGACGGGAAGAGGCAGGAATGGCCCGAGGCGAACCAATAAGAGGAGTCTTGGAACCTGCCCCCAAACGCCCTGGTTGCATACTGTGTGACTGGAGGCAGTGACGCCCACAACGGTCCAGGTGCTTGCCCGCTATGTTTTCAATCTTGTGTTTTAGCGTCGACTTCATCCCACCAACCACCGTCCACATCTCATCCAAGCCGCCCGAGCATCTCTCAACCAGGAACAGTGGCTTGTGGTCCAGACTGGCAACGACTGGCTCTGGCGCCAGGATATTGCATATTCTCAATCCGTGCTACTCCCAGCGTCCCGAGCCTGTTCAAACAATCACCACCACGTGAAGCGAACGCAATGTGCATATGTGTGCCACCATCACTCTCGCCGACTCAACATGCTTAGCGACGACGAAATCACATCATGCTAGAGATATCTTTTGCAAATGATGATATATCGAGGTCACCTGATTGCGGTGAGGTCTGAATGAAAGGGCAGTCGCAGTCGCAGTCGCATGTTGTGGAAGGAGCGACCAGTTTCAACGATCATGATCTCTTGTCACGTGTTGCTCCTCGTCAGTTGCCACGATCTTCAAGACTCTGCTTATGCCAACCTTGTTCGAAAGCTCTGGCTTGCTCAATTCTATTTTGACAATGTCTTTGTGGCCCTTGATACGAATTTCGAGGATGGCCTCATATCATCTTCTTGTTATGGATTCTTTGAATGACTCATCAGGGAAAGCCTCCTCATTTGGGTCTTTCATGTAATGAAACACCATACCCAAAGGAATGCTGATGATATTGTTATGCCGAGTCTGGCATCCACTAGGTTCATCGGTGTCAAAGGACTCCCTGGGCTTGTGAAAGACGGCCTTTGTGCATCGATGCGGCATTATCATCTCTGCGACAAACTCCTTTGTGACATATCGAAGAAACGTCCAAGAACAAAGATCTGAGTGAGTCGTGGTTTCGTGTTATAAGACAGGTAGGAAAGTCTGCCAGCGCTCGCGCGCATCGAATACCCTTCTTCAAACTAGGCGCACACTTCATCTCATATGTCAGACAAGTCAACAGAGTCAGGATTTCCCGCCCAAGTATAACTCCGGAATATATCTTTTCACATTTATCCAAACATTCAAAGTTCCCAACCTCTGCGAGGATGACCGACAAGGAACTGGCGAAGCTCAATACACAAGCTAATCTCGTACCGTTGTTCGTCTTTCTAGGACTCAGCCTAGTGTTTATCCCGTGTTTTGCTGCATTTTATGCACGACGCAAGTCCAGAAGAAGTGAGGCAGAAGTGAGGACAGCAGAACACTCTAGCGCAAGGAGGCCATCAGAGATCAATATGAGAGACCTTAACTCAAGATCGGAAAGCCGGGCATTAGCTCAACCATCAGGCACGGCATCGGGAGATGTCGCCGGGCAACCCCTTGCAATTCAACGTGATGCTCGGGGAAACAAGGTACTGCCCAAAATTCATCGCAACGCTGACGGGTACTGGGTACTTCCAGGTCAGGTACCGAGCCACCAACAACACGATCGCACACTCGAGCCTCCTACCACGTCGTTTACATTGCAACGCCCGCCAAAACACCACCGCGAACTGACAAAACAGATTGCTGCCGACGGTGGATTCGTGCGCGATGGCCCTGAGCGAAAAGTCTGCAACAGCCTCGACAAGACCCCACCAGTCCGCGGCATTTCGACATTGTTGAACCGCGCAGACGAGTTTCACGAGGTAGATCTAAACCAGATATGAAGAGACTAAGAGAAAAAATGTATTATCAGCTAATCAGTGAAGACGTTGGCTGATGTGGAGAGGCACGGAATGTATCCCCAACATAATCAGCCCATATCGTTCACACCATGCTCGTCTCCTCGACACGACCAAAGTATGCCCATTTTGACTTTGCTTCGGCAAATGTAGTCGTTCTCGGTGGCGCCGACTGAGGCACCTGCGCAATAGATCTTGACTCGCTCGTGTAGAGATCGATAATGTCATTCATATCGTCACGATCCCGTGGTCTTTGATGATGGAAGTGATCCGCCAGTCGAGGTGAGCCACCGCGGCCCCGAGACGGACGAGGATTGCGATTTTGTGGCGCACCGGAACTATGACGATTCCCCATCGGCCGCGGAGGCCCAGTCATGGCACGTGTTCGGTCGCGGTGAGGTTGAGCTTGGAAAGGAGACCGTTTTAGCGGACGAGGTCCTCTGGACATACGCTCTTGAGGAAGAGAGACCGGTGTGGCGGGCGCAGGATGAGGCAGTCGATGACCTCTAGGCGGGTCCTTAAGTTGGAATGGCACCTTTTCCACAGATAGTCGACTCGGCTCGACATCATCGAAAGGTCTATCGCAGTTTAGCTGATTTGGAGGAGGACCATATGTAGGAGAAGAATTCACAGGTTCTGATATATCCCTAGGCGGCGGAAGAACGTAGACTGACTCTTCCCCTGCAAGAGGGGGTGGAGATTCGGGTTCAGGTGTGATGGACCGGACAGGCTGAGTAGACACATCAAGAGCCTCAGGCTTTGTAAGTGGGACTGTGTCGTTCTCGAACGGTGTCGATGCTTCTTCCGAATCCGTTCGTTGAAGTCGAGTCGTGATGGTATGCCAAATTGCAATCGCTAGTGTCAGTGTACAAATGACAACAACGATGATTAGCATCACCAGCGCCACAGTGGGGATCATGGTGGGCGTCTATGCTATCGACCTTTTCTTGAAAGGATGGGCACTGGAGTGGGAGGGGGTGGGGGTGATGATCGAGGGAAAAAGACATGTGTATTCGTGATCTGGAAGCCATCGACAGTGTGGCAAAGACTGGAATCTTTGCAAGGAGATGTTTGCGGTTCTTGAAGAGGATGTGACAAAGAATGATAAAAGTTAATGTAGTAGCAGCACGATCAAAACCTAAAGACAAAGGAAAGCAAATGGCTGGCAGAATGCTTAGAGTATGACGCGAGAGGAACGGGCTTTTGACCAGACCAGACTTCGAAGGGTGAGTGCAAAAGTGACCAGAGTCAAGCCGTGTCAGTATCAGCCTTGTCAGCCTTGGACACCTGCTTGAGCCTCTTCTTATCTCGACCAGTTTTGATAGCGAAGAGATAGATGGCGGCAAGCATGGCGACAATGCCAGCAAAGACTGACAATCCAGCCCATGCAACAGGTGTCATTCGTAAGTTGTTGACCGGTTCCTTGTTAGGTGACATTTTGGCTTGAAATGTGAACTTTTGAAGTAAAATTGGTATCTAGATCTGGGAGAGGGAAAGAATTGGTGTAAGTCGGGTCCTTTCATAGTCATGATGGATGGAAGCTAGAAATTCAACTCTACTGGGTGTCCAGGTAGGTGTTCTTTGGCACTTTGTGACTCTTTCCGGGTAACAGATAGGTAAACTTCCTTTGTGAGAGGGCAATGGAGGGTCGAGGACGGATAATGTTTCCGTGGATTGGGTCAATTTGATTGATTTACCTAGATACTCACTGTTTCAAGGATTGGGATTCATTCAACTGTTTAGGTAGTAGACGTAAGGTAGTTGCAACAACAGTCGGAGGTGATGTTAAGAATGAAAAGGGATTTGTGGTCAGTGACTGAAGTCAGGCTGTACACGTGACTATTCTTCCACATTCCAGGCTGCCATGCAGACACTTAACCATAAAGGTGATATCACACTGTCTGACAGGGTGAATTCAAGGATTGGCTGTATACAACCACAACCGTATCACGCAAGATGATGCACTGTCAGACCGGATCTATCTATTTATCCCAGCAGGTTTCGCCCAGGCGCGACATGTGGGAGTCGCGTTTCTGGTGCGCATCCATTCTACAAGACACTATTCGCTATACAGTATTAGTCTACCGCAGTCACTGACTTGTCAAAGAACACTTTGCTGTCAACAGTCAACAGTCTACATCTCCATAACCTCCCTACGCCTCCCTTCCGCTAGATCGCATCTCCTTGTCATCAACAAGGACTCACCTCCTTTCACTACCCTCACCTCAATCCTCAATCCTCCTCCCTCCATCATCCACATATCCTTCTCTCGCACACAGACAGCCATGTCTTTCTTCACCCGACAAATGGCTACCAAGGTGCCCAAACTGTCGACAACAGCACGAGCATTTTCGACAAGTCGGCCATCGCAATTGGCGCGCATAACAGTCATTGGTCGTCTGGGCGCCGACGCCGAAAGTTCAGAAACAGCCAAAGGGAATGCGATGATCAAATATGTCATTGGCAGCAATTCTGGCACCAAAGAGAACCCAGAGACTTCGTGGTTCCGTGTCGTGTCCTTCCCCAAGACTGATGCAAGCAAAGAGTATCTGTCGTCTCTCCCTAAAGGGTAAGTAAATGAAGAACTGGCGTTGCTCATTTCCGCTGGTCGCACATGTGTTTTTGCTGGCAATTGAAGTGCTAGTCTAGTTGGTTTTTAAGGTCGTGTCGCTGACTTTTGACGTCTCTTCTGTAGCACCCTGGTCTATGTGGAGGGAGATGTTTCTATGCAAAGCTACCAGGATAATGAAGGGATCAAGAGAACGGGCATTAACATCGTGCAGTCCAAGTTGGAGGTCTTGAAGAGGAATAGCCCGAAAGAGGAGGAGTAGGCTTAAGCGACTTGAATCAACTTCTTCTTTTGGAGGGATGAAAGAGAAAGAGAAGTTCTTTCTGACAAGGTTGGAACATGTGTATAATTTGATGTTGGGCCTGGAATATGGAGTACAAATGAGAGGAGAGGAGCTCATCTAACGTGGGTGTATATCAATCTCGCAGCTCACCACCAGAATTTAAGGATTCATTCCTCCATCTGTTTGAAAGACATCGTCTTGAATATTGTAATGTGATTAGAGGGTGATTTCGCTCGCAAGATTTGTCCTAGCGTGCCCGTGCCTCAACTTGGCCATGATTTTGTCCCTTGGCTGACCGTCTCATTGTATCCTTGATCCTGCGCATCCATGTCTTATACATGGTGATGGCCTCGTTGCCTAAACCGAAAAACCCAAACCCTACAAAGCCAATCGCAATTTGCACCCATCGATCGAATCCGATGATGCTGGGGATTTCTGCTGTCCATAAGACCCGGGAAACCCAATCCGGGGGATGTGTCTGACTCCAAGAATATGGATGTTGTACAACGAGAGCATTTCGACTGAACGTATATATGGACAATGGAAGGAATAGAACAAGACTCGAACACGCGAGGCCGAAGAGTCGAAGGTATCGCGCGCGGATCGCCGCGGGTAAAGTTGGTAGCACAGTGAGTGTCTGTCTTCGCTGTTTGAACAGTCTGATGATGCACAAGATACAGTAGACAGTGCCCAACAAGCAAACCAAAGGCGGCCAGATAAATTGCAACAAGGATGACACCCAGCTGTTGTCATAGACTAGAGTGCAGCCACTCAGGGGCACTATCACATAGCGGAAAGTCTGGACCACATAGTGTGTCGCCATCATAATCAAAGGCAGGACGACGCAGAAAAAGCCTTCAAAGGCAACTCTGATATAGCGCTGTCGTGAGCTGGCAGTCATCACCCTGCGATCCGGTTCCAGAATAATGGCCATTTGTCTCAAGATGCTAGTGACCGCACCGATCATAGCGATTCCCAGTCCAATGTATGCTTTGACTTCGATATCGCAGAGAATTTTGCCATTGAAGCTGTCCCAAGGGTCAAACCGGGGCCATATGAGAGCATTGATAAAGTTTTGGAAATTGACAGTCACCGAACTGATTGCAAATACCGACGCAGCAAAGTTTCTGGTTTGAATATGGACAAAGATCTGAGGAATCGACAAGAGGCACGCGAGGAGAGAGAGGAAGGGGACTAGGATTGTCCATAGAAGAGCCATTGGAATGGGGTTCCGCCTGAAGAAGTGATATAGATGTCCATAAGAAGATTGACCAGGAGTAGAGCAATTAATCAATTCCAATGCACCTCCTGAATCCAAACAACTTACCTGAATTTGCATGTTGCTGAGAGTGTTCAGAGACATGTCGACCAAAACGGTGCTCAATAGAGAGGCAGCCATGAGCAGCGCAATCAATTCCAGTCCACCTCCTGATTTCGAGCAACTTGCCTAAATCTGCCTGTTGGTGAGAGTGCTGAGAGACATGTCGACCAAAACGGTGCTCAATAGAGAGGCGGCAAGATGCTTGAGACAGCCAAACCGCAGAGGCACGTGAATAGTGCGACTCTGGACATTGCAATTCGTGTTGGAATGGTTAAAACCTCGGAGTAATAACTTGGTCCCTCGAATGGCTTGAGCCAATCTCTCGAGTAGACGCGTTGGATGGCCATGACCATGCCATTGCGCCGCCACAATATGGCCGACAACATTGTACTTATGTTTAAATTCATTATCACATGCTTGCAGCAGTATTGTTGTCGAGTTGTGACGTGTGCACCGACCATGTCAAAGAATGACAGGAGATGTGATGGACGGGAGGTTGTTGGAAGATGTCTTTATTATTATTATAAAGATCAGGCAGTGACTCGGGCAGCCGCCAAGATCCCAAGATGATTGAGATTCCCCTCCAACTTCCAGTTTCTCCAACCAGACATCGTTTTGCAGCCTCCAAACCTCCACTGCTGACTTCAACCTTGGAATTCCAAGGCCAACAATCCGGGTACGCGTCGTATGATATCCGTTGCCACGCTGTTTACGTATTACGGTGTCCCTTCATGACCCTACCTATTCATTTGACTGATTCGTTTCAGGCTCGCAACGTCCTTTTCGTCCTTTTCATCCTTTTTCATCCTTTCACGCGTCTTCGTCTTAGTCCTTCGTCAACTTGACCATGCTGACTTGATCAACCCTCACTTGAACCGTGCTATTTGGAGAACAGGCGATAGTTTACTGTTTACGTATGCAGACTATGACCTCGGCACAGTGAAGTCATAGTCATCCACCATCGACCATTTCAACGACCTGTGAGAGTTACGTTATGTTACTTTTGTCTTGAACAGCAACATGGCTTCTGAAAAGCCTTCGGTCACGTTACCCTCTTCCAATCAGACTGCACGCCATGTTAGTCCTTCGCCTCAGGGTCTTAGGCAACGCCCCTTGGGCAGAGCAACGACATTTGCAGAAGGTCATACACCACTGAACCGTCGTCCCAGTTCTTTTATCTCAGAGACTTTGTCGGAGACGAGAAGGTCCCTACGGTCTTCCACTGATGACATTTTTCTCCCTAGAGCAAAGGGACAGGATGACCTTCAGGACAATGAAGACAATACTCACTGGCAATCCGCGCCTCTAGTGCTCGCACTTCTTCCCGCCGTGGGTGGCATGTTCTTCACCAATGGCAGTGCCTTCATCACAGATGTTACCCTACTCGCCCTAGCCGCCATCTTCATGAACTGGGCTTTAAGATCGCCATGGTAAGCATTTGCTACTATACAATCGACTTCGACTGATCAATTCCAGGGACTGGTATCGTGCTGCTCAAGCCTCCGTCATTGTCGAGCCGACCTCACCCTCGATATTCTCTCCCATTGAAGAGGACAGCGAGCACGAACTCCGCACAGACGGGGCGACTTCTGCAGTCTCTGACCAACCCACAGCCAAAGTACGCCCAGCCCTTCAAATCAACACTCATCAAAGAGCCGATGCGTCGGCTGCCCAAAGGGAACTCCGATTTCATGAATTAATTGCTTTGTTCTGCTGCTTCGCCTGTCCTTTGATGGCCGCGTGGCTTCTGCATACCATCAGGTCTCAGTTGACACGGCCATCGGAAGGATTGGTCTCAGACTATAACCTCACCATCTTCATTCTTGTGGCTGAAGTTCGCCCCTCAGCTCACCTGATCAAGTTGATTCAACGAAGAACCTTGTCGGTACAGAGACGGGTTCACGTTGATAGTCTATTCGACTCTAAGAGGGCCGAGAGACAACAGCTACGCGAATTATCCAGCCGACTTGAGGAGCTAGAGGCACATGTAGCCAACCGCATTGCTGGAACTGATCCTCAAAATGTCTCCAACAGCGAAGACCTTGCCGCCAAAGCCTCTGCACTAGCCACATCAGATGTCAAGAAGACAGTGCAACCTGAACTTGATGCCCTCAATCGGGCGATGCGGAGATACGAGAAACGAATCACCATCTCCTCAGTTCAAGTCGAGGCAAGGCTGCAAGACCTAGAAGGTAGGTTGAACGATGTGGTTGCGCTTGCAGCTGCGGCTCAACGCCACGCTGACCGCAAATCGGACAATTATGCCAACACTCTTTTCAACTGGGTGTGTGCCACTGTGGTGGTGCCTGTGCAATGGGCGGTGTATGTTTCAAGTATACCGGGCAAGGTTTTGTCCAGTGCAACATCAAGCTTGGGGACGTTCTTTAGCAAGACAGCACCTAAAGATGCCAAGGCATCTGCATCGAGAGAGCAACGCTCATCACGGAAAGGCACGTCGAGTCGGAATGGGGAAAGAGAAAGAGAGCGAGAACGAGAGCGAAGAGTGAAATAGCGATTCTGATACCCTCTTGATGCTGATACCCGCAGGCGAATGATTGGCTTCCTTTGTCATTGGTTATTAAGGTACCTACCTATCAAGATCTGGCGAGTTCCGTAACGAGTTTTATATATTTCGGACTTGTATGAAGATACCCTACCTTATCAAGGCGATCTATATATGTAGTAATGACAAAAATGTCCAGAAACATGGGCCCTGCCACTTGATACGGGTTCAACGTTGTCAATATATGCAATGGGATCTACATTTATAAATCCTCATACAAGATCAAACTGTCCAAAGAACTAAATCCCGCAGCAACACCACCCTCATCGCTGTCATTTGCCTTCGTCCTCAACAAATAACCACCTTCAGTGTTATGAAGGATATCTGGTTTAGAGCTGCCCGTGGAGGTCTTCCACAATGCAGTGCCGAAGATTCCCAATTCGGAAATGACATTTCCACGCACGACCTGCCCGTCACTCCTCAAGGCTACGTTCTTGGCCGAAGTCGGGGGTTGAATCAATTCCATCAGAATATACTGTTTCCATTGTGATCGTGGGATCGAGGCAAGAAACGGTGGAATATTGGTTCGGTAGATATTATTGCCGCCGCCTTCGCGTTGAGGCTTGAGAACATGGTGTTGTGCTGTTGTTGGTGAAAGAGCCAGTCTCACGCCTTGGATTTCGTCGCTGTCGCTGGCAGTGCCTTCAGATGACAGTGAGTATTGTGGTGCAAATGTACTGCGTAGATTGGATAGTATCGAGGCGTCATGTCCAGGTAAGAAGTGTTGGAGGTGGTCGGCCTCTGGTGGGAGGGAGGTCAGGACTTGTTGGATTTTCTTGGATCCAGATAATTGAAGTAGGACGGTCGGGCATTTTATGGCGGCGGACCGTTCTAAATGTAGTCGTGCTGCCCATGACGTGGGTAAATCGTATTCTGACGGGGCATACAAGGCACGGAAGTAGACGACCGTGACTTCGTATTGGGTTTCTGGTGATGATGGAGGGGTGTAGATGAGAGGGCGGTTAGGGTTGGTTTCTTTGGATGGGATGCTCGTTGAGGTGAGAATCTTGCTAGTGGGGAGGCGGAAGGAAGGGATTCGATGCTCTTCGTACAGATTGGTCGATAAGGCGTATTGGTCAAAGACGTTGCGTTCGTTGTCTTGGACTAAGAAGAGTATACAGGGAGGGAGCTGAGGAATGGATTTGGACGGGCCATATGCGTTGTGGGCGGCAGCGAGACCAGCGGTCAGTGTTGAGACGGCGGAGTTTGGTGGTGGATGACCGATGGTGTTGATGCTTGGGCCGTTGGAACTGTCTTTGTCAGGACGGGCGAAGAGGGCGTGTGGTGGGTAAGCGACAGGCTGTTTGGCGGATGGGTAGGTGGCGAGATGGGTGTGAAGTTGGGCTACTTTGACGGAGAGGCCTCCAAAGGATGAAGAAATCGTGTTGAATTCGACCTGCTTGAGAGATGGAGGGGCATCATCTGGAGTGTGGAGCATGTAATCCGATCTGAAGAGTCCCAGGGTCAGGTCTTGGACATAGCCTTCTTCCTTGACGGCCAAGTGGATTTTCCAAAGATTGGCCAGAAAGTCGTCGACTTCGATGAGCCTGAGAGAGTGTTAGGCATGAGGGCTGCAAGCATTGATGCTGAGTAGATCACAGTTGACATCACTTACTCTTTCAAAACAGCTTCAAGCCACTCCTGATCAGAGGCAATGGCGGCATACAGCTCATTGTAGACTTGCTGAAGACACCTTGCCTGTTGGAAGCAAGCTTTAGGGAAAGGACTGGGGAACAATGTGACTGGTGCATTGGTGGCGAGCACATTGTTGGTGTTGATTTCTTGCGACACAATGGCTGTGGATGGTCGTACAGTCAAGGCGTGCTCGACGGACCAATTTTTGACAGTTTGCACCAGAAAGTCCTCCTGGTCAGAGGTCAACTCGGGCGGGTAATTACTGTAGACGTTGACAGCCATTCTGATTTCTGGTCTATCTTTTTGGAGAGACCAGGGTTTAAATCAGCCTCGAGTCGAGTGATGCTGGGGTGAGTGTTGAATGATGTATGTGCGGAGTAGTCTTGTCTATGAGGTCTGGATCATGGATTGCAAGGATTTTGCATGGGATATTTCCATTATCAATCACGCAAGCCTTGCAGCGGAATGCATCTACGAAGCCTATAGGCCAGACGCAGGGCTTATGCTGTAAGTGTGGGGGGGGGAATCTCTTAGCGTCTTGTAGGCTGTTGATGGCCTAGAGAGTGCCTGTAACGTCTGCCAAGTTTGCTCATTAGTAATACTATTCCCCCCCCATAATCATGTATTGTCCCTAAGCGCCCCTAAACTCTCAATTTCGTCCAACCTGCCATATTGGGCTCTCGCGTAGCCCCTCGACCTCCTCACGTGTGCCACTTTACACGTGTTCTGGCTTCTGTCGCGTTCTGCTGTCAATCAATCGTCAATCTGCAGCCTTCCACGACAAGCAAAAGTCACAATGAAGATCATCTGCATGAATGCCATGGAGGCCATGGAGGCCATGGAGGCCATATTTCCCACCAGCTGCCCATGTATCACATAACCGCTGAGCAACATCTGCGACTTCAGGCACCAGACACCAAATGATGTGAAGACTCTGAGGATTGCCAACACTGCCAATGCACCCCAGCAGCTCATATCAAGCTCCAGAGTCTTTGCCCTCCATTTGCTGAGACAATCAATACTTGTTGATTTGTCTCCCAGATCCTAGGCTCAGGTACGACATAAGTCTCTCAAGACCAGATATCAACAAATTTCACTCCCTGAGATTTTGAGGTTCTAGAGATGTGCCACTCACACTTGCCCATCTCAAACAGTCGCTCTCACCAGTGGCTCTCCCATCTTGGGTCTTGTTCTCGTTCGCTCTGCTTTGACGCCTACCAACCTTTTGCATTAACTTCTCCTCCATCTCTTCTTCCACGTCACTTACAGATCTTAATGCCGCACCTCACAATCAGCACGACCTGTTCGCATTTTTCTTCTTTCTCAAAGGCAACTGCCTCACCATTCTCATCGCGTCTTCCCCAGGAACAAGGTCCTCTTTCTACCCCTCTCTTCGTCTTTCCTTCCTCCCAACAACTACAACTCTCGCTTCTCCCTGCGAGATACCTTCATGGCTAATTACCACGCCATTTTTTCATCCCAACTATCATCCACTTTAAATCACCTCCACGTTCTTGCATGATGACTTCAGTCCATGGTCTCGACGGTGATCCTCAGGCCTGGACTGTCGACCAAGTCATCCAGCAAATATGCCACAACCAGCATCCTCCATGGTCTAATGGCCTCCTGCCTTCCTTCATACCAGAGAGACAAACCCTAGAAGACACCTTTCGGCAAAATCATGTCGACGGCGATACTCTCCTTTCTCTCGATCTTACCGTGCTTAAGGAAGACCTGGCAATCCATTCTCTTGGTCAGCGGAGAGCCATCATGAAGGTGGTGGAATATCTCCGCCACAACTCCAAAAACTACCAACAGATCCTGACCCAATCTGCACCTCTGACTAACATTCAGTCCCAAGCAGTTGCATACCCCACCGCTCATTCCATCTCTCCAGCTGCATTCACTCGAGTTAGCCAATCCCCTACGCTGCATGGTGTCGGCTATTTTCCTCATTTTGATATTCCCGCAATCCGATCTCCCTCGATAGCTAGTGTAACTGGTAATTGGGGTGCTGGGATTCCACTCAAAAGTCACACTTCAAGTCTCCACACAGCACAGACACGACCAGAAAACCAAACTCATCAAAACACCCCCTCCACTGAATACCCGCCCGCCGCTGCTCCGCCTTCTGCGCGATCCAATGCCAATGGGAGTCAGTTGGATATGTTGCAGGCCACTATCGACGCCGAGCTATCGCTGGTTGACCATGTCAGTCTCTCATCCATGCCCCCGTCGACTGTCCCTGGCGAAAACCCCAACACTCTCCAGCCTCCAAAGAAAGAAAAGCGACGCATCGCTCCTTTCTCCATTCCTCAAAAGAAAGAGGTCCTCACTGAGAATTCATATCTCTCGCCAGATGACAGGGCCTTGCAGGACACCTTCTATTACAAGCTGGAAACAGACTGGACTGGTACTGTCTATCACCTTTTGGAAGACGACTCCACAGAGTTTTCTATACAAGGGAGACCGTACCCTACTGGACGCCGGCGGTTAGTCTCTGCTCAGCTGATGCACTTCTTTCGCCAACCAGTACAACGATTGCCTCAAAGTCTGTCTCTTGCCCGAATCCCCTATAATCAAACACAATCCAAACCTTCCTCGGTCTCCTACTTCACTTTGTTCCCACCGGGCACCGACCAGCCACGCGTCTATCGCCTAGATGATTTCCCAGCCCTGACTGAAGCACCTGCTCGACCCCTTGATGATTCTATCCGGAACATCGTGCCCAGCACTGCAGACATCCAGGATATCGCCGTGGGGCCAGCCCTGGAGCAGCCAACGCCTGGCCTTGGTGATCTAGAATATCTCCTTAAGAAATACCCTGCTAAAGACTCCGATGAGGTTCTCCCTTGCTATGGCGATTCTGGGGACGAATGGGAGCTGGATGATGAGACTTGGCAAGAATATCAGCAAGAGCGGGCTGAAGCAGTTCTCGAGCCGACCGCTTTGACCAAGCTCCAAGTTGAGTCCATCATTGACCAGACTCTGGAGGCCTATAAGCGAGAATGGTACGATGAAAAGCTAGCGAAGATCCAACACAAGGCTTACCGAATATGGCTGACCGCCGCAAAACTCACTGATCGTCGCAAGCCTCTGGCAGATGCTCATTTCCATCGAGACCGTGCTGTCGCCCGTCTTGCAAAGCTGAGAGAAGCCTTGACAAAGGATGTGTGGCACAACGCCAATGATGTTAAACATCAGTGCCAGAATCTAGAGCTCACCTTCCACAGTATTGAGGAGCAGACATATTACATTAACGCACTGAACTCTAATGACCCCCCTCCACGGCCCAGCAAAAGTCGATTGCAACAGCGCCCTGCCAAGAAACCAGAGTTTTTACTTGAAGGTGAGGAGGTGCTCGAATCTGAATCCGAGTCTGATATTGAAATGTCACAAATTGATGACGACGACTTCATCGATGATGACAATCTCTCCGACGCGCCATCCATCCACCATGACCCCGACACCTGGAGTCCCAACATCCCGGATGCTAAGCAAGGACAACCGAGATCACTGCAAGACCACGACAAGGAAGACGCTGATAATTTGCAGCTCCCTAGCGTGTCAACCCCGCCATTGAATTCTGAGGTCAAATCAGACGATGCTGATGACGAAAGTGATGCTATCGTCACACCCAACACCTCGAGAATACGCCGTTCCCGACAGAGAACCTCTTCCGTCACGACTCCAATCAGGCCCCAAGAAACCAAGAATGAGCCACAGAGTATATCGAGAAAACGAACTGACATATCGCTAGACTCAGAAGCCGATTTTTCTGACCCTGGTCTACTGCCCAAGCTTTCCCAAGCTTCGAAACGCTTCGAAGACCAAGATGTGTCAAAATCATTCATTGATTTGACCTACTCGAGTCCCGCATCTGCTCTTGCTGAGTCAAACACAGACTTCGACGTGCACACTCCGGAACTTAACAGCGACTTGCCCAGTACTCCAACCAGAAAGCAGTCTCTGGCTTCTCGTTCGTCGAGCTGCCTGAATCTCAACGCCTCCGACTCTTCCTCGTTGAATGTCCAAGATCTCCCCGAATTAAAGGACATTAACGGAATTCTTGCCTTTTCCTGGGACGTCATTGAACAGACGGACGACCATGACAGGGCCCTAGCTAAAGCAATCTACTCTCTCGCACCCGCTCCTCGTCACCGCCTGAGAAAATTTCTGGAGCGCCTTCCTGCAGAAGATCACCAGGAATACACTCTACTACTTAATGGGTTGGTAGCCTTATCTGACGATCGACACTTGATCGAGGACGTCAAGCCACGAGATGCCGCGGAGGCTCGGCTGGTAGTGTTGTTATACCTGTCGTACCACTCCGCACAAGATCGATTAGACACGCGGGCGTTGTCCAGACTTGACCTTGGCGGGGCACATTCTAGTCTGATTGAGCAGGCCTCAGACTTTTATCATCTTCTGAGGAAACTCACTCAAGCTGCCGGCGACTACTCCTCCGATGTCAAGACCGAGCACAAGCCGTTGAAGAGAAAACGAAAACAGCATTTCTCATCCGAAGACGAAGATTCTCTGGACGAGTCCAATCTTCATGTCGCTGATAATCCAGATTCGGATGTACAGATCGTCGAGCCTTCCTCTTCGCATCGAAAAAGAAAGCGTGCAGTGTTGGAAGACCAAGAAGCTAAAACTCAACGAAGAAACGATCGGCAGCGGATAGAAGAGCAGCAAAAGCGTCGCAAGAGGATTGAGAAAGTTGCCATGCAAAAGGTAGATGGCGACTCCGCCAAACCAGTCAATTTCAGCGAACCTATTGTTTACCTTGATCCTTCAATCGCACGCAGGATCAAGCCACATCAGCTGAAAGGCGTCCAATTTCTATGGCGTGAAATCATCGAAGATCCCAAGCATCAGGGCTGTATACTGGCCCATACCATGGGTTTAGGTAAGACTATGCAGGTCATCTCTCTTCTAGTCACGATTATACAGTGCAACAAGAGCGAAAGCCGGGCAGTGGCGAACCATATTCCTCCCCACCTGCGACGGTTGCAGGCCCTGATCCTGTGCCCTGCAGCCTTGCTCGACAATTGGGAGGATGAGCTGCTGATGTGGTCTCCTGAACATGACATTGATCACATCTACAAAGTCTCTTCCGCCAACAAACGTCCGATTGAGGATTGGTCAAAGACTGGCGGCATTCTTCTCCTCGGATACGAAAGGTTTTTACGAATCATTGACTCCGATGTCAAGTCTAGACCTTCCGAACTGGAGCACGGCGGCTTCAAGAAGCTGCTCCTCGACGGCCCCAATCTTATCATCGCAGACGAAGCCCACAAAATGAAAAATCCCAAATCCAAGATCGCACAAACTGCCAAGGGCTTTCAAACTCTTAGTCGAATCGCCCTCACTGGCTCGCCTCTAAACAACCACCTCGAAGAGTATCACACCATGGTTGACTGGATTGCACCTAACTATTTAGGTACTCCTGTAGAATTCCGAGCCAAATACTCGGAGCCGATTGAAGCAGGACTGTTCGCAGAGAGCTCGCGAGCTGACAAGCGTTTATCGATGCGAAAGTTGCATGTTCTCAAAAAAGCGCTAAGCCCCAAGATCGATCGAGCCGACATCTCGGTGATTGCACAAGATATACCAGTCAAGACGGAATACTTCATTACAATACAATTGACAGACCTCCAAAAGAAAGCATACAACACCTACGTTGAGTCTATGCTAGAGATAATGAGCACGATTCAAGTGCGACATCGCAACACAAGGATGTGGGACTGGATAGCTGTTTTGCAGTGGCTTTGCAACCACCCTTCCTGTTGTATCACCAAATTGAAGCAGCGACAACAAAAGGCAATTGAATCTGCAAAGAATGACGATGTTGCAGCTGAGTCTGATGGTCCGGGTGACAACGCTGTAAGTCCAGGCGAAGCTTTACCGGATGATGTAATCATCGATCCAAATGGACCATTGAATGCTGCCATCGAGAAGGTCGTTCAGGTGTTTGGAGCTGTTGATGCTGCCGGAAAGCTCGATGATACCAACCTCTCATACCGCACTTTAATCGTCGAAAATATCATCAAAGAAGCGGCGTCAATTGGGGACAAGACTTTGATCTTCTCACACAGCCTTCCTACATTGAACTTCTTGCAAAAAATGCTGGAGCGGATGGGACATCGGTATTGCCGCCTGGATGGTCAGACCGCGGTTAGTAAACGGCAGGCCATGACCAAGGTATTCAACCAGAAAGATTCCTTCGAAGTCTTCCTGATCTCAATGAAGGCTGGAGGATTGGGTATGAATCTCCAAGGCGCAAATCGTGTCATTATCTTCGACTTCAGTTTCAATCCTTCTTGGGAAGAACAAGCAGTGGGAAGAGCGTACCGCTTGGGCCAAAAACGTCCTGTGTACGTATATCGTTTCCGAGCTGGAGGCACATTTGAGGACAATATGTTCAACAAAACAGTGTTCAAAACCCAACTCTTCAACCGTGTGGTTGACCAGAAGAACCCCTTGAGCCATGCATCGAAGAACATTCGCGACTGGCTTTGCCCTGTCAAAGACATAGAGCTAGAAGAGTTCGCTGAACACTTGGGGAAGGATGAGAATGTCCTGGACAAAATCATCAAGCGAGTCGATTATATTCGAAACATTCAATTGACCGAGACGTTCCAGCGAGAGGATGAAGATACATTGAACGAAGCAGAAACCCGTGAAGCAGAGGAAGAGTACAACAATGATCATCTATTGCGATCGGACCCGGAAGCGTACTACAAAAAGCTAAGGAGTGAACGTGGTCCTCCCGCCTCGACCCAGCACCAGAACTTCCATTCTCGCAATGTCCTGGGTGTCCATTCGGACCGTGCAGGCCCCAGCATCGTACCGAATTCAAGCTTGCCTACTCCTACACTCATCGACAGAGACTTGATGGGCCCGCCACCACCAGAGCACATCCTCCATCAGTTCAATCAGTCCACCCAGCAGCACGTCCCTGATCACCCCTTGTATACGCCGGACACGTACAATTATCGCTTCCATGCAACCGGCCCTACTCAAACATTTGATGAGACTGCATCAAGACAGCCCCGGCCACAGGTTGAAGGAAGACATCGGAGCCAGAGCGCATGACCTAAACAGTGAAAGACAGGCTTGGTGACTGCATTGAAGGAGAAAATGAGGATCGGCGCTCGACGGGCCAGAGGATGGATGGTGCTATTCAAAGACATGATTTCCAATGGTGGAGAGCGCGATAGGTGCCGACGAAAATGCACGATGGACAGCCAAATGAGCGACGAGGAATTTCCCTGGCCAGCGAATGAGCGATTTAGTTTTGCTTGAAACGACGAGTACTTGCTAGAGATACCCAATTGCAAAGAGATTTTCATAAGATTGATTGACATTGAAATAATAGGTACTAAGTTGAGAAACTTGTCGTGTGCCATATTAATGAAGTTGTCAGTGAAGTGATGTTCGTGAATTACCTTGGGTTGAGAATTGGACGTGGTGTTGATGTTCGGTTTGGTTTACCTTTTTATCTTTTGGCGGCATTTAGGGTTGGAAGCGAGTTTTCTTGACATGTAAGCGTGTAAGCAGTTCAGTGCATCAGACTGGAGATCGACGAGTATCTTCCGATTCTTGATCATCCTTCATACACATACACAGTGATGCATAAACGAAGTAACCATCGGCGCCGTTTTTATCATTAGATTACTTGCATAAGGTCGTGAGCAATGGTGCTCAAATCTCGAATTTCGCCAGATATATTTCTACACATTCCACCCGTCCAGCCACACCACCTAAAGGAGTCAGCTTCACGGACAACACAGGGCCATGAGCACGGCCACAGCGATAGTGTCAATGTCCATTTGATCTTTCTGGTCACCGGAAATCCAGGTCTAATTGGATATTATCACCCTTTTCTCAGTCAGATTGTTGATTTACTGCGTGATGATGCTGATGGAGACGCCGTGGCGACATGGACGTCATCCATGACGGTAGTAGCAGGGTTCAGTCTCGGTGGGTTCGAGGTCGAAGACTACAAGTACAATAAGAACACTAGTCATGGTGACGGATTGAGGCGTCCAGGAATAGCGAATGGCAATTATGACGATGGTGATAATGATGACAACATGAGGAGACAGTTATTGTTTCCAGATCATGGCCATTATGGCGAAGAGCCAAGCTCGAAAAAGATCTACTCGCTACAGGAACAGATCGCGTTATGTTACGCTCGATTGCAGAGTCTAGTACGACGGGTTACAGAACATGTCGAAGCGTCGACGGACATGTCTGGGCAGCATGGATCTGATATCAATGTCAATGTCAAGGTCAAGGTCACTTTGATGGGACACAGTGTCGGCGCCTATATTGCCCTAGAGTTGGTGCGGCTTTGTCATGAGAAGATGCGACGATCCTCCCAAGACGGTGGATATACTACTGAGCCGACGGAGACGACGGAGACGACCCAACCCTGGTCCATCGCGTCATGTATTCTCCTGACACCGACAATCCAAGACCTCCACCTCTCCTCGTCCGGACGAATAGCCACCCCTCTCTTAACCAGTATTCCTATCCCTCTACCAACTCTACTACAATCACTCGTCAGTCATGTTCTCGTCGCCACACTTCCCGCTTCATGGTTGAAATGGCTAGTGAGCCGCGTCACGAGTATGAACGCTGAAAGTCATGGAATGGAGACGACACTGGCGTTTCTCACTAGTGCGACGGGGGTGCGTCAAGCGTTGTATATGGCCAAGTGTGAGCTTTTGGAAATTAGGACGGAGAAGTGGGGGGAGGAGGTTTGGGGGGCCAGTGGTGGTGGTGGTGGTGGTGGTGGTGGTGAAGAGGATGGTGAGATTGGTGTTGGGGGTCAGCATTCGCCGAATCTGTTCTTTTGGTTTGCGAAACAGGATCATTGGGTTGCGGATGCTACGAGAGATGAATTGTTTAATAAGCGGAGAGGTCAACATATTGATGATGATGGCTCAATATCTGACGGACGAGCGAGAAACGCAAAAACTCACTTTCGGATAGATGAGGCGGATGGACTGGTGCATGCTTGGTGTTTGGGTCAGAGTGATCTTGTGGCTAAAAGGGTTAGTCGATGGTTGAAGGAGGTGACTTGAGTCAAGAAGGTAGATAATAGACTGCGCTGAAGAAGAAATCATGATGCTTTCATCGGTCGTGGACTGACGAGAGACGTTGTTTATTGGATTACATCAGTATGGTAGCAAATGGCCCAATGCCATACCTTGTCAGACTAGACAAAGTCCGAGTGCTTTGTCCACTATCTAGCACCCAATCCAGCTCTTCGGAAAAGATCACCCAATACGTCAGGCGGCTGGGATGCAGATGTAAGTGTTGGTCCAGGATATTGACCACTGACGGCACCTGGTGGTGCGGGCGGAGGTTGTTGCATATCATGAACTCGAACACTCCAAGACGAATCATCCGCTCTTTGTTGGCCAAAGAGTTGTTGGAGTGATATTTGTTGGCCGGCAGCATTTGGCGCATTGGCAGACTGATTGATTATCGAAGCCTCTGCCTCTCTGACGTGGCCGTTAGTATGTTGGGCTTGAGCGGCCAAGGCTGCGGCTTCGGCGGCCTGTCTGCTGGCTCCCGCATGATCTGCGAGCTTCTTCATGAGTTCGCCATTCAAATCCTGAGCGTGTTCGGTAGAAGTCCCCGGACCATCGTGAAAAATATAGACCCCATAGATCTTTTGTTGGTGGCTCTGTTTGAAACTGAGGATAACATATTCACCAGTGATTTCAACGCCAGCGTCCTCTCCCTCGCGCAGTTCTGCCTCGAAGTTGTCCAAACCTCGTCGGTTGAGAATGATTATAGAGTATCTGTCTTCTCCATAGGGCCCGGGACTAAGTTCACAAATAAATAGTGAACCTTCCACGCCAGTCTTGGTCCATTGTGGTTCTGGCACAGGGGAAAACTCATAGACTACCGCATAAGGCGCTATGGAAAGGATGCCTGTGATGGAAGAATTATGCCGTTTCAAGACGGACAGGTTCAATTCCTCGTTGCTTCGGATGGGAGGGGGTTTGGACGGGTGTTCTGATTGATATCCTTGAAAGTCCGACTCGTAATCCGACGTGGGGATATATGATTGGGGCGGCGGTTGAGGAGGGGGTTGAAAATTGGCGTAGGAGGTAGGATTTTGTAGAGGCGCGGTTAAGGGTGTCGGTGGTTGTTGTGTTGTTGAAGAAACTGGAGGGTATCGTGGATAGTCAACAGACTGCTGACGGCGTGATTGGCCCGATCGACGATGGTGATGGTTAGACATGTCGATTCTTGAGTGAGGAAGGGAGGTGGTAGAAGAGGCCTGAGATGGGTCTATTGGGAAGCGAGCGAGAGGAAGCGAAGGAGAAAGGACGCTATGAATGGTCAGTACGGCAAACAACGACCTACCTGGTTGGGTGGAAGTACCAACTCGAATTGGGCTAAGAACGCTGCAGGAGCAAAACAATCCCGGGAGATAAGTCCTCAACCAGGAGAGCTAGTTTGTGTGATACTGTGGTTCTTATTCATCATGTTCAGGGTCGATTGAGGGGATGGAAAGGAGGGGGACGAGAGAGTCCTGGATGGCGGCAATAATGCCAAATAACGTGTCGCGTGGACGAGGGAGGGTGAGAAGAGGAGCACAAAAAGAGAGAGAGAGGGATTTCAGGATGTCAGGATGTCAGGATGCCAGGATGCGCAGGGCAGCAAGGCTGAGGTCTAAACAGGTAAAGTGCGTCGCCAAGAATAAATCGAGATAGGAAAAGCGTCATTGAGGAAGTCACCACCCCGGAGTAGCATAAGTGGTTGTCCCTGACTCAAGTTGATTGGATGTGGGGAGGGAACCACTGGGAAGGCACCCTGGCGTGCCTGGCGATACTCCAGAGCAAGTGCGACCGCGCCAGTCAGGCACCTCCCAGGGCTAATCATCTTCCCTATTAGTAGTAAGTAGACACGCTAGGTGGGTTAAGCAAGAGACCCTGGGAAAGCGCGGCTGCACAGGCACCACAGAACGGTTAACTCGATAATCTGGTAAGAGCGACCTGCACCTGCGACTTTTTTGTACACTTGCCCCCTAAACTCAAGAGTCCTGCCATTTCTGGGTTTTGAGATTCTACAGATCCTCCGCAAGACCATCAACTGTCTTCTTCTCCTCAACATCCCAACAACTCGTCTGCCATATCCCTTTATTTGTCGACTTCCATTACTCGGTTCTGCAGCGTTCTCCCTCTCCTCTCTCAACACCTTATCGTTCCCGTTGCCTTGGATCCATTCCCTCAAGTAATTTCCATAAAATGTCTTCTCCTCTCAATGCGGTATGGTTGTCCTCCAAATACCCCTAAATCCGGCTTGCTACAACAAACCTTCCTCTCTACCACCATTCTTCAGTCTTGATTGTCCAGCATCCTTTTGTCCTGCATTACTGACAGAATGTCCTTTGCCCCGTCTCAGACTCGGAGGAAGAAGAATGTCAAGAAGGGTATTCAGTTCGTTTTGATGGTCGTGGGCGCATCTGGAACAGGTATGAACTCCAACCATCCCAAATCGTTGGCGCACCTGTCAACTCACTCATCATGGCTACATATTAACATGCTTTATTCTAGGTCGGACTACATTCGTCAATACTCTCTGCGGCCGACGAGTTCTCCAACCCAAGGATGACGATGATGCTGCCAGCGCCCACCTAGAGGAAGGTATCAGGATCAAGCCAGTCACAGTCGGTATGTCTCTCAAAACACAATCCGCAATAATCCTGTGGGATGTCGCCTTGTCTAACAACCTATAAAAGAGCTCGAAATCGATGATGAGGGTACCCGTGTCTCTCTGACCATCGTCGATACCCCTGGCTTCGGTGACCAAATCGATAACGAATCATGCTTCAGCGAGATTGTCGGCTACCTTGAACGCCAGTACGATGACATTCTCGCTGAGGAGTCTCGAATCAAGAGAAACCCCAGATTCCGTGACAACCGTGTCCATGTCCTCCTCTACTTCATTACCCCCACCGGTCACGGCCTCCGAGAACTCGATATTGAATTGATGAGACGTCTCTCTCCTCGCGCAAACGTCATTCCCGTCATCGGCAAGGCTGATGCACTCACCCCTGCAGAATTGGCAGAGTCGAAGAAGTTGATCATGGAAGATATTGAGCACTATCGCATTCCCGTTTACAATTTCCCCTACGACGTCGAAGAGGATGACGAAGATACTGTGGAAGAGAATGCCGAACTACGAGGATTGATGCCTTTTGCCATTGTCGGTTCTGAGGAGGTCCTCGAGGTCAATGGCCGCCGCGTGCGAGCTCGACAATACCCCTGGGGTGTCGTCGAAGTTGACAATCCCCGACACTCAGACTTCCTAGCCATCCGTTCCGCGCTGTTGCATTCCCACTTGGCCGATCTCAAGGAAATTACACACGACTTTTTGTATGAAAATTACCGAACCGAGAAACTCAGCAAGAGTGTTGACGGAGGTGTCTCGTAAGTCTATGAATTCCAACATGAATCGTGTGAGCTGCGCTAACAATCATCCTGCAGTGGACAAGACTCGTCCATCAACCCAGAGGATCTCGCCAACCAATCTGTTCGTCTCAAGGAGGAGCAACTGCGCCGTGAAGAGGAGAAGCTTCGTGAGATTGAAGTTAAGGTCCAACGTGAGATCAACGAGAAACGACAAGAACTTCTGGCCCGAGAGAGCCAACTGCGCGAGATTGAAGCTCGTATGCAGCGAGAGCAGAGCCATGGACTGGATGAGCCCAACGGCCACGGACACCAACAAGACTAAGTGTGTGTAGTGACTGGACAAAAAGGTGACCTTTGTCCTTTGCAACTACATGCAGGCATGTCTTGCAGAGGCCACAACAGCAGGAGGGAATTATGATGATGGTTGACACTGGTCTGACGGACTTGAGGCCCATGCGTGCCGTATGAGGATCTGATGTTTGCAATCAGTGTGACCATGTCTAGGGGGTAGTCTTTTCGTGATTGAAGCAGATGGCTTGCAGAAGCTTGACGGACATTATGCAGTTAAAAGTAGCGACCTTTTCTAATTGGTGATGAGGGGTGATGACCAATCTCGACAAGACACAATCTTTTGATTCTGCGCTTTTTGTCTTCCATATCTAACCAGGACATGAATGCTGGCTGGTAGATGTGACGAGCACCGAGCGTTTTGTTCCTTGTACATAAAACATGCGCAGGATCACGTGACCTATATATCTCCTGAACTCTTTACTCATTGTGGAAGTCGCTGATGCATCCGCTTGAAACCAAACTAACAACGTCGTCCTTCAACCTCAACGCCATATCTCTTGCTCCCACTCAGCATGGACACCAATGGATGATGGTCACACTCCGTAGACCTCGATCACAGACTGCGGTTCCTGCGGTTGAACCCCATACTCCTTGTAATCCATGTCGATGCTGTCACCTGTCAGAAATGTCAAACCTTTATCTCACGACAGGACAACGTACCCGAATCCTCTAGGGCCGGCAATCGCCATCCCTTCCTCGGTCTTCCACAATGGATCTGCCGGCATGGACACAACGCTGACCCGCAACCCATACCGGAGTTCGTGCGTCGCCACGGCACTACCGTCCTGGTCCAGGACACTGATCAGGTCTGGTGTTGTGCATACCACTTCCAGCGTCGAATCGGGGTTGACCAATGCTGCATAGAGAAACTCGTTCTAATAGTGTGAGCCCAAAAGGCACAAGAATCGCCGCCAACGGGGCCTCACCTGGTACTGCAGCTGCAACGGACGAGCTTCCGTGGCCGGCCCTTCACCCTTAGATGAGTCTATCTTGACCTCGTCGTCCAATGTCAACGTCACGGTCCCCATGGTCCAGCCACCTTTAACCTCCCTTGTTACATCAACCACCTTACCAGAGTACAATTTTCTAGCCCCTCGCACAGTTGAGATCTGAGAATTTGTTAGCCCAGGACGATGAGACAAGTGTCTTGATCCTCACCAAGGCATCTACAATGTCAGTGCGAAGCGCCCGGGCAGTGCAAATCGCCTTCCCTATGAACCAACTCAGAGATATCGTTCGATGTACGCAGTACTTCTTGACCACCTCGCCTTTCAGATTCATGGCCATGGCAACAGACAGGCCTAGTTCAATTGCCGTACTCCGTGCCTGTCGCAATCGGTCAGGCCCTGCTCCTTCGCCAGTAAAGTCTTTATTTTCACTCACCATACTCTCAAATTTCCTCGCACTTGAAGCATTCGCAATGACCAGATCATTCCCCCGAGCATCGGAAAAAGCCGCTGGGCATGGTGACGCTGCCTTGAACACATATGGCAGACTCATATCAATTCGGGGAAAAGCTCGGCCGATTGAGTCTCCATCCACGACTGGTATATCCATGGCTATCGCCACCGAGAAGGCTCTCATTCCATTGGAGCCGCCAACTTCTCCCGCCAAGAGTCCATCCAAGCTTTTCAAGGATTGGTATTTTACTAGTGCTTCTGTCGCTGATTGCAGCTCACGCTCGCCATTGAGGCGCTCGTTCGACACTGATGGCGCTCTGGGAATAGGTCAGTCATGAGCCATTGATACGTTGATGAGAGTGCGATTGTTAGAACTCACCCTACGAATGCAACACTCGCCTGCGCCTATGTCAGCTACACTCGGCCTCGTGTGGAATGGTGACTCACTATGTTTGCTTCGGGCGATAATGAAGACACATCCACAACTCGCAACCGACCAGGTTGGCTTGCTTCAAGCACTTGAAGAGCATTCAAGTACGTTGTGTATACTGACCCACCACCACCTGATTTTATGAGCAGCTTTTCGATGCCATTTTGTGGCTTCAACGTACCTGTACCAAGAACCCCAACACCCTCTGAAATGAACAGCAGATCTGTTGCAGACAAGATCCATTCACTTTTATTCTTGGAGACATTGGGCCGATATCCAGGTATCATGTTGTTGTCGAGATGAAAAGACCGGCTGTGCTGTACTGGCTGCCAGTGAAACCCATTAATTCTCGGTGGCTGTTTCACCTCGACCAGTTGAACCTTTGTTCGCCCGAAATCGGGAGCCCAGCCCAGTTCACCAACCTGTCAATGTCAGCATGATACGTTATTGTCCGAATATCATCACGAACTGCTTTAGCCACTGCTCTCACTGCTCCGTCGCTGGTATATGGGAGGGGAATGAGATCCACCTCTAGCACCTCGACGGTGTCTCTCGCGGCACCATTCTCAATGGCCAAATCGATAGCCCTTTGACAAATACTCGATTTGATCTCCTCACTTGTCTGCCCTCCAGGCGTGACAATAATGTCTATCTCACCAGAAATCTTGGCAATCGCGGCTCCGACGGCATTGGCAACATCGGAAAAGTCAGGTTGCAGAAACTGTGCAACGTTCTCCGGCGCTTCCTGCAAGATGATCGAACCTCCTCCCACTAAAAGAAGGACAACTGGAAGATCAGATGTCTTTATGATATCGATACCCTGCTCGATTTTCTTTCGGATTGTACGGCGCGCGAGATCGATGAGTCTTTGGTTCAAACCCCCAATGTTTGGCACGCTCCCTCTTACCTTGTGGCCTTGGCCAGAAGCAACAACAATATCGGTTGCCGTCAATGTATTACCTCCGAAGCATTTGCTTTGGCTCGTCAAGAGATGGCCAACCGAAAGTGGGCCTACTGTGACTTGACCATCATCATGCTCATTGACCTTGGATCCTCCTCCAAGACCAATGCTCAAGACTTCAGGCATGCTGAACGCCGTCCTGACGCCTCCAACCTTGACAGTGGCCGGAGACTGTCTCGGCAGGCCTGATGGTGACAATGCTGCAAAATCGGATGTAGTGCCCCCAATGTCACACTGTCAAATCAGTCAACTATTGACTCAGCTTTTCCAGGCCACCATACTTACCATTATCACTTGATTTTCCTTCATATTGATCTTGCAACCTCCTTCATGTAGGCCAGATAAGAAGAGAGCGCCAATAAGAGAGTTCTGACGGAGGTTAGTCACAGAAGCACATGAAGATATGGCCAACTCACCGTCGCACCGGACGAAAAGGTCCGTATCGGTGTCAAAGATGCCGAGTAAGCATCCAAAACTGTGCCATCATTCTGGGTCAGGTACAGAGGACAATCAAGACCAATATCTCTGATAGCCTGCTGGAAGGACGAGATGGTTACTCGACCAAAAGAGAGGATGGCAGCATTGAGAATGGCAGCATTTTCTCTCTCCAGAAAGCCAAGACGGCCAACGTCTCTGGAACAGACAACATCAATTCCTGGCAAACGCTGGTAGAGGATCTGCTTGACTCGCTCTTCTTGTGTGACAGGCGCAGTGTCAATAGGCGAAAAGACACCGTTGACAACAACTGTGTGGACCCCGGCTTGGATGATTTTGTCTGCGAATTCTAGCACTTGGGCATCGTCAATGTCGGATATCAAGCGGCCATCAACTATTACGTCCATTAGTTTCATGTCTTGTGCTATGCTTGATGTAAGTCATACTCTCCAACCCTCCATTGATATAACCCACAGGCCCTTGAAGAACAGAGCGAAGCTCAGTGGGAAAGTCCGTGAACGGTACAACCTCGCGGCAGAATGGACCACAAAGTCTCAAGACAGCCACAGGTCGAAGCTTGGTCTGGTCTGCTTGTACGATGGCATTGATGAAATGTGTGGTGCCAATGTTGACAGACAAGATGTCTGAAGGTGCGATATTCGAAGTGGCTATGAGTTGATTAATTGCGGCGCATATTCCTGTGGTGACATCGGTCGTTGTTGCACTCTTGCTGCTGTTGACGATCTTTACCTTTGGTTGCTTCCCGTCATTGTTGTGGTAAGATGCTTCAGCTAGCGCAGCGTCGGTGTTGGTGCCACCTTGTTGTCATCGCATCGTCAGCACAGGAACATGTATGAATTCATTATGCTAGTGCGCGCACTCACCAACATCGACGCCAATGCGATAACGACGTGTAATCTTCGCCATTAGGACGTCTTTCCTTCTAGCCTTTATGATTGATTAATATCCGGGATGGTGACAACAAGATGGTTTGTATTCATTCAGCTTGATCGCTCCAATCAATACTCGGAACTACTGCCTGAATTGTAATTTTACTCCTGGTCATGGACTTGGGGTGATCACAATGATTAACGGTGAGAGCCGTTGAGCAATTTAGGCCCTCAGTCTATGATTTACCGAGCTAACCGCGTCCCCTTATCGTCCGTTGTTGAGAAATCGATAGACCGAGACGGCGAGAGTATGATTGATGGAGCGGTCCAATTCCGAGCCTAGATTCGTAACCGCCAACCTAGACCAGCCACTTCAAGATATGTCAAGACATGGCCATGGCCAGCAAGCCCAGTGGAGCATTGAAATCGAGATAGCGATTCTGCAAACAAATGTGGTCAAGGAAGACTTCCGCTTCTCCCGGTTCTAGCGAAGATATCTCATCAACATTAGTCCAAGGCTGCATAATTCAGGGCAGAGGTCCGATTGGTGGAGTTTGTCGCTCGGTGTTCTCCACAACCTCGGTGTTTCCCTGTTGTGATTGGCTTCTTGGACGACTGCCAATCCACCCGCTAGCACGACCAACTCCTTTTGCGAGCTGTGGCAGACCTCGGAGGCATTTCAAAATTCTCCGTGGCGTGTAAACTTCGAGATAACAGATATCTGAATGATGAGATTGTACGGTAGGGTCTTTGATCGTCTGTTCGCTTGAGTTTCGAGACTGAGATAAGGCGAGCGGTTATGGTGTGGTGTGGCATACTCAATACCCACGGTCTGGGAAGCGAATGATAAATACTGAACATCATCCTGTGTCTCTACTCGGTCCACATTCAATTGAAAACAGACGAGACTCGAAACTCGACATCATATACGGCCATCAGGTTGACAACTCAGCAAGATCATCAAGTTCGCGTCGAACTCTTCAATGCCAACATGGTCCGTCTTCGGATCCCCAAGACCCTCGCGGTGCCGTACCCAGAGCACGAACTACCTCCAACATTTCTGATCAACCATGATGTCAAGCCAATTGAGGCCGAACGACGAAAATGGGGTGAGTTCACTTCAACATACCCCAGGTCTGGACCCAAGAGACAGGTTCTCTTTAGTGCATTTTCAAAATTGTACGTCCCGTTGACTCTAATCATCTTTCCCAGGCTCGGCTGCGTTTTTCTCCATGTGGTCCGTCATGGCATTCAACATGAGCAACTTCCAACTAGGCTCTGCTTTACTATCGGTGGGCTTGAATTGGTGGCAAAGCGTTATTGCTACTTTGATTGGCCATATCCTCGCCGCTATTCTCGTCACTTTTGTCTCGTTTCCGGGTCTGTTCTATCAGATCTCATTTCCTGTGTCGCAGCGGTTTGCTTGGGGTAAGTCGAAAAAGAATACAGCCACATCCCAAAACCATAGCGAAACATTGTGTTGCTAGAAATTAGGTACTAACATTCCTACCTCTCCTCTTTTTTCACAGGCTTCAACGGCTCCATCTTCGTGGTCCTCAACCGCATCCTCCTCTCCATCATCTGGTTCGGCGTTCAAAGCTGGCAAGGCGGGCTTATGACCTATGTCTGCCTCAGAGCATGGTTCCCCAGCATTGACCGCCTACCCCCGACGTTTTCTCCCTCGACTGGCATGAATCTCGCACAATTTGTAGGCTTTATCGTCTTCTTTGTTCTACAACTACCATTCCTCCTCCTGAAACCCACCACCCTCCGATTCCTCAGCTACACCAGCGCCGTAGTCGGATTTCTTGTCCAACTCGTGCTCGTGGCATGGGCATGTGGCACCATGGAAGGCTGGGGCGAAATCTTAAGTAATCAGCAAAGAGTCGGCGGAAGTCAACTCGGCTGGACATTCATGTTCGGTATAACGGTTACCATGTCCAGCATCACCAGCGGCACGTTATCGGTATGCGACTATTCACGATTCGCGCGCCGGCCACAATCAGGTATCTACTCTCAACTCCTGGGATTCTTCCCCGGCTGGCTGTCCAATGTATTTGGTATCCTTGCCGTCGCAGGAACACAACGAAGATTCGGCGCCGAGTTATGGAGTGTGGTGCAATTGTTGGTGGCGATTCAAGACCAGAATCCAACCAGCGGGACCCGTGCCGCCGTGTGGTTCGCGGGCATGGCGTTCCTGGTTCCTCAAGTCGCGTTGAATGTGATTGGAAATTCCTTCTCCGGTGGCACTGATATGGCAAGTTTGTTGCCCAAGTATATCAATATCCGCCGAGGTCAGTATCTAACTGCCTTGTTGGGTCTGGTCATCAATCCCTGGTATCTGGTCTCGGGAGCTTTGGTCTTCCTGTCCGTCATGTCCGCATACACTATTTTCTTACAGCCGTTCCTTGGAATTGTTGCTGCGTCATACTTTGTCTTGTACAAGCAACGAATCAAGGTCTCGGATCTGTATAGACTGCGCGGGAATATTTATTGGTATTCCTACGGTGTGAATTGGAGAGCCGTTGTCTCGGTAAGTGTGGCCCAGATATCAAGACTGTCATCTTCGACGTCGAATCGTCGTGTGGTATTGTATCATTGCTAACAATCTGGGGTTTTCAAAAAGTGCAGTGGGCTGTTGGTGTGGCGCCTCATTTTCCAGGTTTCTTGCGTACTGTCAACCCGAGCGTTCACGTCAGCACTGGTGCCAGTCACATGTATTTCCTGACGTCTATTTCAGGCTTCGCGATTAGTAAGTCGAGACCGCCCTGTGGTTGCTGATGTTGAGATTCATTGGAGGACTGACCCATGGCTCTCTATAGGTTTTGTGGTCACATGTGCCCTTGGCCTGGCATTTCCTGTGCAAGAACAAACGGAATTTGTTGAATCAAATACTCGAGAATCGGCGTTACAGCTCAAAGAGGACTATCTATATGGATCTGAAATCATCAGAGGAGCGGAGAATTTCGAAGGCAAGGATCCAATGACTCATGTTTCCGAGGTTGACAAGGAATCAGAGGCAAAGACATAGTTGCTTATCAGGGGCGGCTAGTGGCTTGCAAATTGTTAGGAGATGAAAATACATTCTCATTCGTATAACACACCAATTTTAAATGGCCTACAGAACTTGACATAACGCTCCTGATCTTGTATTCTACAGTACAACCCTAAACTGACATTGAGAAAGATGCCAACCAGGGTAGATCATGGGAACGACCTATGTCCATCAAGTAAAGAGCCCGTTGAGAAAGGAAGCCTCATCGTGATCCCAGCCGAGTATATCAAAGTGAAGGCCAAGATTGAGACCCATGGCCGAGTCAGGTGCATACGAATCGCCTGCTGGTGTCATGAACGTACCTGACATTGAATCTGTTGGCGAGGTGAGAGTAACATCATTCAACGCAACGACCGCGGTCGGGGATGGGGCAACTTGATGGTTCGGCTGTAAGTGCGGCTCAGAACGAGCGACCCGAGGAGTCAAGCAAGTTTCCAGATAATCCTTCGCCGAAGCTCGGCCACCCATGACGATTGACAGATCGGGAATCACGGTGTTCAGCTGCTGAGAGTCATCGGCGGCCGATTCGGCGAGGGCTGCTCTAGTGCTGTTGGCGTCCCGGCGGTAACCTTGATACGCTTCAAGAATCTTGATCAAGGCCTCTCTGCCATCTACGGCGATTGGGGCAGAGTTTCTATCTTCAGACAATTCCTTCATGTCCTGAATGACGAGTTCGATGTCGCTAAGGATCTTGGCTGGAAGGATGGGACGCTCGACCAAGAGAAAAATGGCGGTAGAAACGGCGGAGCAGAACAACTGGTAAGCCTGTGACAGTTTCTTCTTGGAGGTACGAAACCTGACTGGATCCACAACTCGCATGCAATTGTAGACGGCAAATGTACCTTCAGCAGCAGATATACATCTCGACCAACACCTTTCAAAATGAGTGCGTAGAAAAGGACGGAACATCCTGATACGTTGAACAGAAACGGAGTTGTGGACGAGATGATGTTGCCACTGGAGATAGTCATAGTATGGAGGAAGAGTTGTGCTGACAAAGGTTGGCGAAGAAGGAGATTGAGGCAAGAGATACCAAGGGAATTGGTCTATGATGGCAAGGATCTCATCATCGATCGATTCGACAGTCTCATAGGATGATGTTTTGATGCCGTTGTCAGCATACAAAGTATTGAGGACTTTGAAAATACGGGCGCGGAATACATGTACTGTCATGACTGTCGGATGATTCATGGGGCGTGAAGAAACTGATGTGGGGGTGAGGTCGCAGTCGTCACAGTTGAGAGGAAAGGGAACGTCAGACAGATGGGACTGAATGAGAGGGCGACGGTCTAAACAGAGGGATTGATAGATGTCGTCGCAGCAGATGTCCCACCAGATACGGTGGCGCATCTCGGATTCTAGGTTTGTGGAGGGGGCTTTGTCCTTATCGAGACCCAGGGCTCGAGCACACTGAATGGCCTGACCTAGGGCGGAGTTGAGAGATTCGACGTTTTTGATGGAGTACCAGTAGAGTTGAGACTGCTGGAAGACTAGGAGCTGGGTCAGACATGGGCGTGCTTCATATTCGGCAGCGTGAAGAGCTTGGCGGGAAAGACGAAACCAGCGGTGGGTGGATTCTCGGAACTGGGCAGGATCCATATCCAGCATGATGCAGAGGTCGGTGTCCATGAACATTGTACTCAGGCTGATAATGACGTATAGCAAGGCAAGCCAGACTAGGTCAACTTTGGCAACAGCGGTTGTCCATAAAGCGGAATATTGTTGACGGAAGGAGCTGGCATGGATAGATTGATAGATGAAGTTGATGTGTTCGAGATACCATGAGACGCAGAGGTCACATTGAGACCTTGACGGTAGTGAGGCAGTGAGATAGATCTTCAACTCCAACTTTTCATCGTCCGATAATCGGGCGCCTGCGGCGAATGAAGAGGACACAGGAAGAAAAGTCAGAGTTTGACCGCCGGTTGTGATCTGTTCAAGGTTCTTATCAACGTGGAGAGCCTCGACTGTCTTTTCCCCGATCTGTTTTTTATGGGATTGGAGAGTACTGCCTTGTGCTACTTCGATGTGCCGAGTGGGCTGGCCGTAGTCAAGATGATGCTGACCGGGGCTATGTGATTGAGAGATAGTAGAGTATGTTCGTTGCGGAGTCGAGGCAATAGAAGATTGATCTCGTGAAGATGTTCCACTGAATCTCACCATGGGCAATTTGGACGTAGTGACGAGCTGTGGCTTATAGCTTTGACATTGGTCCTCGCAGTTGTGGCGGACACAACTTTTGCAGGGGTTTTGTCGGTCACATCGAACCTTGCGCTCTCGACAAGGCCGGCAGCTAACGACTCTTGAGTGATGGTTCATGACGAGTAAGAGGACCCAAACCTAGGCCTTGGGGCGTTCCAAGGTATGGAGGGTATGGCTTTGATGGAGGTTCAAAGGGACCAGGTTGTCACATGAATAGGGAGAATGGCACGTGGATATAGGACATAACTGCGAGAGCCATTTGAAAAGTAGTAATGGTGCCAGAGTGAGAGACGGGTAATTGTCAAAGCAGAGATTGATGGAGTGAGAGAGAAGTTGGATGTCGTCAAGAGTAGATTTCTCCTGGGGTGCGGAAAAGAGATCAAGGCAAGAGCGGATGAGAGGACGCAAAGACTGGTGGTCACCTTCCTCAACCTCCGCTCATATGCGCCCAATGAAGGAGGTGCGGATGTGATCAGACCGCAGATTCAGCCCTTGTCATGTTTGCACATAGCCGGCTGGACCATTTTACTGTTAGAGAGCGGCTTGTTCCGTTGAGTTCAAAGCTTCAAAGGCCTAATGTTCAACTGGCATGATAGTCACGATAGTGTATAGTCTATTCGAGTTGAAAGTTCTTCCCTCCGTCTCGACCCTTATCACGTTAGGCCTCGTAGACTCAAAGGCTTGGCGTTTCTCGGTCTCTACCTCGTCCTATTGGCAGTTGCGTCTCGCTTGTCTCGTAAGCCTCGCTAAAGTGCATTCCAAGCTCCAAAAGTCAAGCTACCTTGCTACGGAGTAGTGTGGGCATTGACTCGTGTGCATGCAACTCTTATCTGCTACTCCGTAGATTATGGGATCTATAATAAAGTCGAACTAATCTTTGCATGCTAGGAGGTTCAAAGGCCGCAGGGAGGAGTAGTTGCCATCATGAGCATTGCTCGGGATGGAACAATATGTTTCCGTTCCATCGCACCTTCCCGTGCTTCCTTGCTGCCTAACTGTGACTGAACCTCGTTCGTGCCTGCCGCCAACATAACGGGGTTTATGCCGAGGTCCGTCTCCCCACATGACTTCAACGTCCAGCCAACTGCGAGGTTTGCTCAAGACACGCATCGGTGGCATCATCGAGATTTCTGTTGCTGTCGTCGTCGACTCATAGCTAGAGTCATTGCTTCTCTAGACTGACTGTTGATCGTCTGATGACTTTTGTCTTCTTCCTCTGTCATAAACCCTTACATCCCCGCCTCAACCAACCCAATACTTCTCTCATATTGCAACCGTAGAGTCTTTTTGCGGTCAAGGATTCGTCCAAGTTCGACTGTGAGATGGCCATACCCCTCTGGCCCACCTTTGGAGCTAACCAGATTTCCAGAGCCCTAGATACATCGTCATTACTCCACGGTCACTTGTGTACTTGACAGCATATTAGAATCTCGCACATCTACCGCCAACCACAAATCAACTCAGAAGCCAGTCTCGTCGCCATGCCGCAAGACTCAGCACCAGAGAATCCAACTGCCCCTTATCAACCATACCAGGATGCCATTCCACCTGAGAATGCCCCAATTTCTAGTGCCAACGGCACTTTGATCTCTCCCGACGAGAGAGACAAAGAACTGTTGCAAGACTCTACTAGGGCTGACCGAGCAGCCACCCCCGAACCGGACGAAGCACACATCGAGTTTCCTCCAGGTCTTCCAACTCCTCCTTTTATTCATGTCGAGGGTATCCCAAACTTTCGCGACCTCGGAGGCTATCAGTGTCAACCACCACCATCCGCTTCCTCTTCTGACGGCAAAGTCTACCAGCTCCGCAAAGGCATTCTCTACCGCTGTGCTCATCCGACTCATCTGACTCCTCAGGGCCTCGAGACTCTGACTCAACGTCTCGGCGTCACCACCCTCTTTGACCTCCGTTCCCAACCAGAGATTACCAGACTCGCAGGAAACGTTGCGAGTTCTCCCAAGTCTCTCTATCCCCTCGCCGACCCCAGTACTGGCACCGTCGGCTCGCACCCATCTACACCGGGCCTGACTCGCAAGTTCACCCCCGTCTACCAGACCGAAGATTACGGACCCGTTGCCCTCGCTCGCAAGCTACAGTGGTACACGGCAACGCACGACGCCCAGCATTCGACCCTCGGCTTCTCCTATTCAGAAGGCTTTGTGCATGCCTATCGTGACATCGCCGCTCACGGTGCTTCCGCCTACACCGCCATTTTCAAACACATTCTGGAGCACGGTGAAACCTCACCCTTGGCCTTTCACTGTGCGGCCGGCAAAGACCGGACCGGAGTATTTGGGGCCCTGATCATGAGACTGGTCGGCGTCGACGAAGACACTATTTGCTGGGAATACGCCCTGACTGAGCCTGGCTTGGGAAGATGGCGAGAGCAATTCATTCAGAGGATCAGCCGCACCGGCTTGGGAGGTGGTGGTAGCAAATTGAGCAGCGAAGAAAAGACAGCCAGTGAGAAGAACGCAGTGAGCCGTGAAGAGGCGGCCCGGATCTGCGGCTCCAGGGCGGGCAACATGCGAGCCTGGCTGGACACGGTTTTGGACGGCGAATTCGGCGGAGTCGACCGATATCTGACCGAAAAGTGTGGTCTCACCACCGAACAGATTGACCGTCTCAGGACCATATTGAGCGTGCCAGTTCCTGAGGGCCACGAAGTCACTCGACGTTCTGAGATCGCTGGCTGGACTCCTGAAGGCGGTGTCCAGGATTGATCAGTCGACCAGTCGGTGGGAAGTCCTCAAGGCTGGAAGTGACTCATATGATATGATGAGAGAAGCGTTGATGCTATAAACCGATCCACTCAACCTACACATCCATTACTTCTCCCTTCTCGTTTAAGACCAAAGAACAAGTAAAGTATAGATTTTGCGCATTTTGATCTATTTTATCGGCTCTCAATCTGCATACTGCATTCGGTATAGTTGATGGCATTGTCATCACAAGTGATTCCTACGGTCTACATAGTAAATCTCGATGGCCCAAGCACCACCACCACGAAAAACCGGCCGAACACATTTCAGACGAAATCTAGAATGCAAGCAACCCTGACTCTCGTGTACAGCGGCACTTATGACTCTCTTCGTCTTTCATCGTCCATCTTGCCTGCTCCTCGAACGCTAGGACTGTGCGTACCTGGTCCTCTGGTTGGGCTGGCACTCACACTGGACCCACCTCGCTTGCCGTCCTTCTTGTTGATCAGGTTGTCAAAGAATGATCGTAATGGTTCGTTGTTTTGTTTGCCTCCTAGCGTGGAAGATGCCGTTGGATTACTGGTCCCCGTTCCTGACGCTACTCCGTCTGTTGCGGTCCCGCTGTTGCTCCGTCCCATCGGCGTACCTGACGCTCCCAATGGTGGTGACATTGAACTTCCAAAACCTCGCTCTCCGTTTCTTTCCTTGTCCCCTTCTCGTTGCTTCTCCTTGTCAATCCGCTCCTGAATCCGTCTCGTGGCCTCCTCAGCATCAAAGTCAATCCCGTTGACGTTGATCTGGTACGGACCAATATGTTCCGCCATTCGAGAACTTGACGCGCCCATCCCTCCTCTGCTCAGTGAGTCCGCTCCATCTTCTGAAGCCCCTGTCCGAGACATTGCTCCAGTACCCGTGGAAAGGGGTGCATCCTTTCGCGCCTTCTTCTCGGCCTTCTCATCTTCAGCCTTCAACCGGTCCATCGTGTTACTGAGATCTTGAAGAAATTCAGCCAGAGGTCGGACCGTTACAGGCTCTTCGGCTTTGGTGCGGGGATGGAAAGAAGGACGGTGTGTGCTAGGGTTGATCAATGTAGCTTCAAATGTTTGAACTGCCGATTCGGTCTTTTCGGTGGAAGTATTTTGTTGGGCGCCGTCAGGGGAATTTGATGCTCCATCCGGTCTAGTCGTGGATGTTGGGGAGGATGACAAAATATCTAGGTCCAAGGTCTGCTCTGGGGGAGCCTGGATTTCCACCGACCAGGCATTGCTGACTGACTCTGGATCGAAAGTTTCATTGAGCAACCGAATCTTGCCCCATGAATCCCAGTTGGGAGGAATCAAGATCTTGTCCCTTTCGACAATGTTATGCTTTGCGACCTCACGTTTGAGGAGCGAGTGAATACTCAGGCTGGAGTGGATGAGTGTACGGATGTTGTTGGGATCAAACGTTGAGGTGTAGACGAGCGAAGCGCCGTGCTTGAGAAGGACAGATCTGAGCCACTGCATCAAAAAGTCAAACTGGTCGTCACCCCAGCCATGATCTCTTTCCAAGGACTCGGTCTTTTCCGCCTGAATGCAGACTACCGACAAGGGGATACCAAGTCCTTCGTCCCATTCTCCTGGGCCCGGTAGCACGCCGACAGTTGCGGAGGAGGATGCTTTTTGGTCTGTGCCGTTGGTATTCGCACTTGTGGTGGTTGTAGAGCCCGTGCCTCCTGGTTGAGTGGATGGGGCATCGGGTCCGACTCTTCTCTCTTCCCACGCCATCATTGTCTCCTCCATTTCCACTTTTGTTGCCTCGTCTAGAGACAAAATCACGCCCCTCAAGAGGCGGATCCATTGACGAAGTTGTCGTGCCCAGCGGAAGGGATCAGACCAATCGAGGAGGATTGTGATGAGGGTGTCCTTGACCGTGTTTGGGGTCAGGAGTGATTTCAGCAAGGGAGCAAAACTGGCGCTGGGGTTGGACAGCATATGGATGTTTAATCGGGCGAGAATGTCCTCCTGGTCTGCGTCTAGAACATCATGATAGGTGTAGCCCAAGGCATAACGATTCGAGACAGGAGAGGAACGGGATTGCTGTTGCTGTCTTCTCCGGTCGTTAGTGTTGAGGAAGCGGGTGCGTAAGGATTGTGGGTTTAGTTGTTCGAGGAATTCTCGTTGTTGGTCTGGAGTGCCGCCCAAGAGGAGAAGCTGCTTCTCTGAGAGGTCTTTCCCTTTTGAAGCTCGATTGAGCATGGGGACCCAGAGGGCTTTGTTGTCACCATCTTTACTAGCAGGACGGCGGGAGGGAAAGAGGGAGGGATGGTTCGAGGTAGTGGCAGAGGGGGTAGATAAGGCGGAGACGGGCTGCGAGGCAGTGAGCATAGTGAGCGATCGAGACAGACGGACGCAGGGGAGAGGTATTTGGTTGGAGGTCAGGGCGAAGGAGGTCGATGTGTCAGGGTGGAATCATGACTTTGTAGAGCGGTGGGGGGGTATGAGAGGGTGGATACTGATGCTGGTGCCAGCGTGATGGTCGAAGAGAGATCTGGCAAGGGAGAATTGATTGATGAGGCTGTGCTTGAGGTCAGTATTGAGTTAAGATGGCACGATGGGATGGCGACTGGAGAAACAGGATCGACGAACATGGGTTCCTCGCGTCTGCGCTTGCCTCGTCTCGTCGCGTTGGTGTGTTTGGCCTTCGTGCCTTCCGTTAAATTTCTCCGCACCCGCACCTGCCACTTTGACAATTTAAACAACCACCGGACAATAAATTTTCCACCTGTGGTCGACATCATCTCTGTTGAACGACATCTACATCGTTCATTGCTGTCATCTTGGGTATTGGATTTGTCTGTGGCGGAGTTTCCGCATGACATGCTGGGTGTGAGAATCATCCTTCGTCCGGTAACTCGCCTTCCACCCAACTTAGGCCACGATGAACGCTATTCGAGCCACCCAGGCGCTCAACAAACGAGAACTCGAATCCGCCACGCCAGTCAACGCCTCATGGCATACAGACTACCGAGATACGGCCTACATCTACGTCGGCGGACTCCCCCTTGATCTTACAGAAGGCGACGTGGTGACGATCTTTTCACAGTTCGGCAACCCGACACATCTAAAACTGGTTCGTGATCGTGAGACTGGCAAAAGTAAAGGTTTTGGCTTCCTCAAGTATGAGGATCAGAGGAGCTGTGATCTTGCTGTGGACAACCTGGGCGGAGCCGAGGTCTTGGGTCGGCTGTTGAGGGTAGACCATACCAGGTACAAGATCAAAGATGGAGAGGACGAAGAGACATGGCGGATAGAAAGGATGGAGAGGGAGACGGGAGAAGAGCGGCCACAGTCAGACGAAGACGTACGAGGTGACGGAGAGCACAGCAGGAAGAGACGCAAGAAGACGCGGCATATGTTGAAAGAAGAGAAGGAGTTGGAGGAGATGCTGGCCATCACCCAGGACGGCGAAGAGGCTGACCCGATGCGAGACTATCTCATCAAAGAAAAGAGGGAAGAAGTCGAACAAGCAAAAGAAAGAGAGAAGAGACGCAAACACAAGCATCACCATCGTCGGAGACATGATGATGGTAGTGATGAAGAGGGCAACAATGATGACACAGGCCGACGGCATCGACGTGGCCGTGAACGATCGGAGGAAAGGAAAGAGACTGATCGTCGTTGGCGACGAGACCAAAGCCACAAGGATCACGGTGAAGACAGATCAGAACGACATCGACACAATGGCCATGAGAGACGCCGGAGAGATGGAGAAGACTGACGTGAACGTTCACCACCGTCGGGGAACTCTGATTCTGACTCTTATCGACATCGATCTCACCGTTCAAGGAGAGAGCGTGATTGACGGGACGACCTAAATCACCTTGGTATTTATCTATACAAGATCGCTCGAGGGTCATCGAGCTCAAGGTCGACTATATGGCTGAAGCGGAAACTACACGATTAGGCTCTCATTTGGGGCTCTCGGCCATTTCCTTGACCAGTTCGATACCAATATCTCGCAACTTGAACTTTTCTGCAGACATGTCAGTCAGCAAATGGCTTGATGGTCAACGGCATATGGGGTGCAACTTACGAATCTTCCCGCTGGCGGTTTTGGGGTAATGATGGACGAAAAAGACAAACTTGGGGACAAGATGATGACTCATATGTTCCCGGACCCAACTCTTCACCTCATCAACGGTGATCTCAGTCTCGCCAGGCTCCAGATGATGTCTCTTGACAATGAAGGCGGCCACCACCTCGCCATACCTTTCATCGGGCAAGCCAACTACGCTAACCTCGGAGATTTTGTCATGGCCCAGCAGACAGTTTTCTACTTCGAGAGGGTGGATATTCTCACCCCCTCGAATGATCAGGTCCTTTATCCGACCGGTGATACTGACGTAGCCTTCGGCATCTATGGAGGCTTCGTCACCAGTGTGCATCCACACCGTGCCATCGGGGTCTGTGGTCATAGCTTCGGCCGTCTTTTCAGGCTGGCCCCAGTATTCCTTCATGACAAGATAGCCGCTGACGACCAGTTCGCCACGTTCGCCGACGTCGAGGACTCTATCATGGTCATGGGGATCGACCACTTTGGCTTGGACGTGAGGGAGCAACCGACCGACGGTGTTGATGCGCTTGTCAATGGGATCATCGGTCGTGGTCATGGCTGAGACTGGTGATGTCTCAGTCATGCCATAGCAGATGGTCAGCTCGGTCAGGTTAAGTGTCTTGTGAAGTTTCCGCATCAGTTCGGCAGGAATAGATGACCCGGCGGCGATACCGGTGCGCAGGTATTGAAAGCCGTCACTTGAGACTTCACCGTCGCGGATCAGCTCGAGTTCAGAAAGAAACATGGTTGGAACGCCGTAAAGGGCGGTTCCCTTTTCTTCTTGGACGGCCTTCAGGGTCGCCAGTGGGTTGAATGCTTCCGTGGGGAATACGATGGCGGCACCATGTGTGGCTGTTGCCATGTAGCCGAGGATACAACCGAAACAGTGGAACAAGGGAGGAGGACACACGACTACATCTTGTGGAGTCAGAAGCATACGATCGCCTATCTGGTTGCCATTGTTGAGAATGGAGCGGTGGGAAAGGCAGGCGGCCTTGGGCATCGAGGTGGTGCCGGATGTGAATTGGATGTTGACCAGATCTCGGTTGGAGAGTGGTTCTGAGGGTATCGGAGCAGAGGTATCGCCATCTTGACTAATGGAGGACCAGCTCGTGGTGGCGCGAAACGGGGTAGGGTCGATTCGTCCGGAAGAATTGTCAAGTAAGACAACGTGCTTGAGGGAGGGAATGGCTCCGGAGGAGAGAATGGAGGTGGTCAGATCTGGGACGATGGACTCAAGGATGGGAATGTTTGATCGAGGAGGTTTATAGGGGAGGTTGGTTTCGGTACCAATGATGAGATGTGAGGCCTCGAGGTGGTTAAGAGCAGATACGATTTGTTTGGCAGTGAACGCAGGGTTGAGAGGCACCAAGATTGCGCCGAGTTTGAACAAAGCGTATGTGACTGTAGCAAACTCGAGATTATTCCCCAACGAAACACAAATACGGTCCCCCTTTTTCACACCGAGGCTCTGCAGGCCTTTTGCGAGAACATTGCTGTCGAGATCGAGTTGATAGTAGGAGAGGCGTTTCTGCTGCTCTCTTGAAATGACGGCAGGGCGATCACCATAGGCTCCGACAATGCGCGCAAAGTTTTGGCCGACAGTCTCTTCGAGAAGAGCAGGCTCGCTAGGACCGACGTAATGAGCCTTTGTCAAGAGACTGCGTCGAGGAGGATGAGCCTGTGACGCGAGGCGAGGCCATCTGAGGCGCGGTCGTGATATTCCCCGCATCTTGCTTCAGCATGGGGGATCCCCGAGGAAGAGGAGGGTGGGCGCCGACGGTCGAGATTGGGAGGGAGGATAATAACAATAATAAAAAAGGATCTTGTAAGGAGAACTGACTCAAATCATGATAGAGAATGACAGGACGAGCATATGATCATGCCCCCAAGAATGAAAGGATCTTATGGGTAACAATCCTATCTCGAAAGTCAGTCTTGTGCTCAGAAATATGACGGTTGACCATCTTCCAGGTTTCTCGGCAGCCGGACCGTGGCCGCCTTTGTGGAGAAGCGGCCACACCAGAATTGGAGAGGATTTGAGATACGCAAGTGACGCGGATAATAATAATTTACGGGGGATGACATCCATGTTGGCCTATGGGCCGGGGCACAGTCCTCCACTATACCCGCGGGGGCAAATAAAGGGACGACTTGTACTCTATTGGGTTTAGTTTGGTCTGGATAATCATTAGCCGTGTATGAGAAGTTGTACATTAGAAGTGACTACTTTACTCCGTAGGTACAGGTTGGTAGAGACGGGCACGACTGGACAGTACGCAAATAGTGTATGGATAACTGCGTAATAGGTACTGCGTCGCTAGTGAAGAGTTAAAAAGCTCAAGATTGGTACTTAGAATGGACGTCTGAAAAGCGGCACGTCCTGAGCACCTTTCAATGAAGCTCGAATGTTTCAAATATGAGAAGCCCCTCGGCCTCATCTTGATGCCCAGAGGCCCCGGATCTTGGGTCCTAGAGCCCCTGGAGCTTGGACTGATAGTGCTGTTCCAGTTTGTGGGGGAACGCATTTGGGGGCCACCCTGCAACCTGCAGGCCAGCAACTTGACTTGGGCCGAGGGCTAAAGTCAATGGTCATAAAATTAGGTGCCTAAGGCTCTGGGGGTCACCTGGGCCGCGATTCAACTGTTGTTCCCAATCACCTGGCCGGGTGATGCCGCGCCATCTCATCCAAAGACAGACCATCAGTTTTGTCACACAAGATAAGCGAAAATAAGCAGTATATCCAGAGGATAACCTCTTCTCGTCTCTGACAATAATATACATCATATAGACCAGAAAAAACGGCCCTGGGCCATGCAATGCTCCCGAGCGGCTACTAAATGGTTGTGTGTTCCCACTCGTTAAAATAACATATCAATCGACATAAATTGTCGAGATCTGCCATCCTTCGAGGCATGTATTGTATCAGACGGGGCGAATACCAGGGAGAGTGTCGACGAAGTTGATGGTGTGAGCGGCCTTCCTCTTTGATGAGTAGACTTAACCAGCGCCAAACACCCGGTCCCCTCTGCATACATCAACCCTGGCTCGTCGAAATATTCTGTCATGGATATTCATCACTTTCATCTCTCATGCCCTGATTTTCCAGCAAGCCATGACCAACATGGCCCGAGGGCCCATGGGGTTGGGTGCCTTCTGTGTTTCCTACCCGCGGTACCGTACAAGCCTGATCACCCTCGGCCTCGGACAACATCAAGCACCTTGTCTACCAACAGATGCCAGCCCATTTTGTGCCCTGCCAGCGACTTGAGATATGTTTGAATCTCCGTCGGCTGCTCTTGCTTGTTACGATCAGCAATCTCCACCAGGCTGCCCACGGCAAGAATGGCCAATGTTGGGAGGTCAACTGCCGACGATGAATCTCTCGAAATTGTTCGAATTGCGCCTTGTAGTGCTATCGTTCTCGGAGGCCGGTCAGTCCATGGGAACTGCAGCCGCCAACAAGCCGCGTCCGATGCTTCCCACGTCTTACTGTCACAAGGTAAATAAAGATCCAGCTCGTCGAAACCGAGTCCAAAGCTGCTTTGCGACCGAAGATTGTAAAGGCTATGGATCGCCTAGCATCATGTCAGTACCGCTGTGCAAGTCTCAATAAATCAGAGTTACTATCTTACCACAACAGCCCATCCCAGCCGCTTCCGTTGCTCTGCTGCCACCCACTCTAGCCAATTCCGATGAAGGAGAGCACCGTCTAGGTCCTGATCCAGCAGTTCTTCGGGGCTGAGCGAGCAATCTACCGTGTTGAGGTCCTCCTGGATATCCAACACAGACGATGTCATGAAATCTGTTTGCTCGTCTTGTGGCTCGAAGAGCCCAACGTTTCGTGCCGTCGTGATCATGCTCGTCTGACCAGTGATTGCGCACGGCCGGAACAACGTCGAACGGTCTGTGATGATATGAAAGTACAACAGACATTGACACAATAGCCACGTTAATGGTTCGCAAAGTTTTTTATCACCCTGCGCAGTCTAAGTCAGCCATTACGCTCTCGGAACATTTCAGGCTCTGTAGGGGAAAATGAGGCACACATACACCTGACGAAAGGATGCAGATCCTAGCAATTACCCCTAGATAGTATCTCTTGTCGCTTTCTTCTGAGCCATAGCTCGCTCCAACTGCGGTCACCACGCAAAGGAGTAACGGATGGCACTCTTCAATCTTTGCTGATGGCCTGTGGAGAACTGGAAAGGACTAGACACAAACATATCAGCAATCAATAATGACATAGACCAACATTCAGCGGGCCAGCTACCTCGTGGAACATTTCAAAATACTGGCCCCAGAACCTGATCAGATCCGCATCGCTGGTTGTGGGCAGATCGAGAAGAAGGTTCTTGTGCTCAGGGCCATCGAAACTCTTCAATGACCTTGACACAGTACCAAACAGATCGTCGCCGTGATTCTGCCACATATCACTGGCCTGAATTTGCTGCTGACCGTTCCTTCCCATAACAAGTAGGTCATTGTGATTGACGCCTGAATCCCCGTTGATGTCGCACAAAGGTAGTTCTAAACGAGTAGTATCTAGGTGAAGATCTTCGTCCCAATTAAACCACGACCAAGGTGTAACGTTCGCAGGATTCGAAAATTTGTCCCCTTGTTCCTGGTCGGTCGGTGTCTGCCATGAGATGTCCTTCATTGCCTCGAGACCTAGCTCCTGTGTAACTGGCGGATCAATGTGCATCATGTCCCCTCCGCTCGAGCCTGGCGATGGGAGACGAAGACCCCTGTCCACAAGTGTCTGTAGAATGTCGTCAGAAATAGGAACAACATCACACCAATGGCCAAGCCACTGGAAGTACCACTTACCTGTGGATTATTAATGACAATCGTATCCAGCTCTTTTGGGTCGCTAGTAGACCCTGGTGCTTTAGGATCAGTGGCCGATGGTGAGGGATAAAGGCTGTCCTCAATCGACTCGGCGTCAAGACCATCATTGCCCGTTGCTTGCTCGCCCACGCCCTCCGCCCTACCCGCCGTGATATGGGGCTGCGAGCTCTCGTTGTTATGTACCGTGGAGAAATGAAATTGGCAGACAATTCCCTTCTTTTCACACTGCGTGCACGACGGAGCACCGCTGCATTTCACCTTGTAACTATAACGCGCCCACGCATCAAAAAAAGAAGCCACAACGCCGGATGGGTCACACATACAAGACACATCGAAGACAGCTCTTTCGGCGAGACCTTTGTTTAGGCGCCTGTAGAGAGGTGTTTTGATGTTTGGATTTCATATGCCGGGTGAGCACATCCTTTCGTGAAAACCGTTTTAGGCACGCAGGACATTCCACCGGGCTCGCGCGCTTCGACAACGACACTCGAGGATTGGATGTTTTCTGGTCGGTTGTTTCAATGGACATCTTCTCAATCGACCTACTGCTACTGTGATTTGCGCTTGTATAGTCTGGGGGAAGTGAATATACACCTGCTAAACCAGATTCAAATCGATATCAAACAAGCCTAAGAACTGCCTTGGGAGAGAATTGTTGCGGGATGGTATTACTTGTTCTCTTACTTTACGCTAGCCGAGGTCATCATATCTACGGTGTATGTACTCCGTAGTCCCTTCTGTCCCCCCAGCTTGCACGAATCTCAGCGCGGGAGCAAAGCGGAGGCGGGGGACAATCTGTGGGCCCAGAGTTGAATCGCCCCTCCCTTGAGCATCCCACTGATACTCCATTGCTTGAACCCCTTGGAAGTGGGCTTGCTTTTGTACCCATGAATGCTGAATGGCAAAATTTCTTATGCCAAGGGTCTCCGTCTCGACTGATTCACTTGTTCTGGGCCAGAGTACAGCCAAATTCCCCGCCGAGGTGAATGGAAGTCGTCATAGTAGCTTACCCTCAATAAACCTTGGTCACCCCGCGGCAGCCTGAATTCCATGGATTTCTCCCCAGGGGTTGCCAAGTTGACGACGGAACGGAACTAGGTTTTGTATGATTCTCTCCTCTCGGGAGGGAACAGATCTCCAGACTCCCCAGATCAAAAACCTACTCTGAGTGGTCCGGTCACAGAGCTACCTCTTCTGCCCACCTTTTCTACGGAATTTCGCCTTCCGTTACTAGGCAAAAGTGGCGCTCGCCCCAGGAAACATTCTGGATCTCCACGGACGTTTGTGAACGCCTTCGAAAAGAATCGTTCCGGCCTGAATATCTACTATAATCATGAATATGTCCAATGTATCTGACATCACGGGACTGGGAAGTGCAGACTTGAACCTCAATCAAAGCACTACAATAAGGCAAACCGAACTCGAGAGAAAGTTCAATGAACTCGAAATCCGTCTCGCTGAGGTGCGGTTGCTGGCTACGCAAAACGTCCATAATGTCTCAAATGATGATGCCCCAATGCTGGAGGCCTTCAACAACTTCCCGGACGCGGGTGCTAGTCATGACCCCTTCGGCGACTTTGTCGATCTAGACCTTCTGTCTCATGAACCAATCTCTTCATCATCTGCCCGACTTCTGTACACAGGTCAGCCCTTGAACAACGTGCCCCTAACTCAGTGGTACAAAGACGGTCGTGAGGCTCGCGCCCTTCGGCGGTCGCGGCAAATCCCATCTCAGCCCTCGACCTACGACCTGGATCTTTTGGAGCTGCATAACTCGGTCAGGTTCAAATTACTGCGACAGTCTATGACTCCCGATCAACCGCAACAAAGGTCAGTATCTTCGAGTGATTCGACCGCCCTTTGATAACCGGATGGCATCAT